AGCAAAGCAATTACCTGCTCTTTTATTATAGTATGAACAGCAGATGAAACGTTGAAGCACAGAAGAACACCACTGGTGTCCTACTAAAGATATGAGCCTCGATGACAACTAGAATTCCGCTTCGCTAGAACAAGATGTCGTGCTTTGTCGGCAAATGTTTGTATATTCTACTTAACTTGAGTTAATTTTACCTTAATTTTTTAATTCAACTTTTTTTAATTTCTTAATTAATTTAGTTTTTTATTTTAGTTTCACTTACTTAAATGAAGAAAGTTCACCATGAACTAAGATGAGTCATGAGATAAATAAGATAATATAAGTGGTACGAGATTATAAGATAAGTTATGAGCTTCTTCTAAGTTGAAACGCAAAATGGTGGGCACGCATTTAAAACAATGCGTGTGAACATGTTTACGCGATGATTCCACCTTTTAACAGCGAACATTTAGGTTCGGTATAAAGCGAACCAAATCTTTGAAACAAGCACGAGAAAGATAGGGTAACTCAGGAATTCGTACCTTCTTGTATTGTTAAACTAACCCGAGACTGATAAAAAAAAGCTTATTCGGCTAGTGTTTCGACTTCTTCGTCTTCTTCAGTACCAATGATTGAGTCGATGGCCCACAGTCATTTGTACTCCAGATGTAGTGCAGTTCAAATAGTTCTCCAATGTTTCTGTTTTTCGAATAGTTCTTGAATACTTTATTATTCGAAGACTTAGATGCTCTTCTTTAACAAATATGGAGAATCTGGAGTTTCCACTCCCCACTTATATTTGAATGGGAAATTCCTGATTGGTAATGAGTTTCTTCTCTTGGAGTTGCGAGAGCCATGCCTGGGATCACTAAGTCGTCACCACTTGTCACCTCGTGATAATGTTGTTTCCAGAATGGCAATGATTCCTGTTCTTTCTCTTGGTTTCCCCTTAGCTCAGTTTCGAGATGGAAATTTCGAACACCGTTTCACCTTTGCAGAACTTGTTAGGAGTTGAACACTAACACTTCGCTGTAGATTCTCGTTCGAACACTGCCGCAGTAAACTATGGGGGAAGGCCTAAATATTTAAAGAAGGAAAATCTCCATTAATAAGACCATTTCACTCTCTTCATTCTCGTGAATGCAGAAATCGCGAGATGACTCGATGGACACACGTTGCGCCTCTGCTGGGAATTTGGTGGTGTTTCCTAGCAAGGAAGACTCCGACGGAGCTTCACGGGTTCTGCGACTCTCGTTTCGGAAAAGTGTGCAGGAAATTTAGGTAACATTTTTGAGGTTTCGTGTACAACTTTTACAGCAAGCTTGCCCTAGAACTTTTAACTGTGGTGCTAAAATTGGATAATTTTGTTAACCGTGAACGTATTACTACTACAAATTTTGTTAGCTCTCCAGTACTTTTTATGGACCTTGAAATTGAGTGAAAATTTAATCACTGTTTATTCATTGCTTATTCTTTTTCATGGCAAGGTGTGATATGTAATATAATCACAACGATACTAAGATATTTGCTAAACTCCAGACCGCAGGTGGTGGAGACCGAACACGCTATTATCTTTTCCGGGGGCTAATGCGTTCACCACCACACCATGTGAGTTCTTCATTTCGCCTTTCTCTCAGCCATTGTTCTTTAGGTGCTATCAGCAGTTACCCGTCAACGGAAATAGACTGGTTAGCAGAAACCAGTTTTGAACCCAGTTAAACTGGAGCTCTAGTATGATGTAATGTAATATCACTTTCTATTTACTGCCTGTGTTCCCCAGAGCAATCCCGTTGATGAATTATTGCTCATATCATCTATAAACCATGGATCTCCCTCATATGAGATCTCGAGCCGGTTAGTCGCTACGCTAAGTGGCGCGTTTCCAGGTGGCGGATACGGGGTTAATCGCGGACCAAAAGCGACCTTTGCTTCCCTGAGACGCAAGTGGATCCTGGGGATAGACTATCTGTTTCTGCTGCGCCGATTTGGCATATAGTTTCTGTATTTGCTAGGCGTATTCATGCATGTGTGGGCGCGTTCTTGCTTTTGCGGATTGTATTCTACGAGTCCATTCAGCCAAAAGCCCGCAATCAAGTAACTGGGAAGTATGTGGGAGGCGGTTAAGAGTCGCCTCCAACAAATAAGCTCCATGTCCACGCTGGGAGAGCCTGGCAGGCTACCCATGAGTTTACCCATCCCCCACGTTCAGAGCCCAGAAAGCTATACGTGGGTATCAAAAATGCGAAACACAGTAAAAAAAACGGACCTCATTCCGCTGACCCTGAAAGAGCCCCCAATTTCGCAGCGTTGGGTAGAAGGAGTACGGAAAGGCTGCTAAGATCTCAGGGCCAGTGGAAGCTGCCTGGATCACGAAGAACTATGGTGACGATCTGTACCTACAAAGCACGTACACTTGCATACGAGTCCTCGATAGAAGACCTGCTCATGCAAGCAGGAAGGATAAGGTACAACGTTATCGGCCTGGCCGAGACGAGAAGATGCCAGCCTTTCAACACCGTATATGACACCGGAGAAGAACTGTTCCTCGAAACATGCGACAGCAGAGAAGTCGGCGACGTCGGCGTTCTCGTCAATATGAGTTTTTTCATGGACGTCGATTCATTCAAACAATTAACAACCCAAATCGGACGTTTACGATTGAAGAGGTGTGGAAAAACACCAGCTTTGACAATTTTCGTCGTTTACGCGCCGGCATCAAACTATGACGAAGTCGAAGCGTTCTATATGGAATTGGGGAAGTTCTACAGAAAGGACCATACATTCTTCAAGGTCATCGTTGAAGATTTCAGCGCCAAGATTAGACCAAGAAGAACGTCTGAAGAACGTTACATTGGGACCGACGGATTAGAATGGAACAAACAGGGTGAGTGGCTCTCCGAGTTTATCATGGCGACGAAGACAATCCATGGTAACTCGCTATTCCAGAAGCCCCACCCTCAGCACTGGACGTGTGAGTCTCCCAATGGAGAGTACCATGACGAGGTAGACCACATTATAATAAACAGAAGGTTTTGCCTAACCGATGTCGCTGTTGTTCCAAAATTCTACGCGGGATCAGACCATCGTCTCCTTCGTGCAAGATTCTATTTCTCGCGGAAAGGAGAAAAAGCCGCTAAATTCCTAAACCGAAGTCCCAGAATCACCGCAAACTGGGACTTATTCAATTCATTAGTGGTCTGTTGGGAAGATGCCATTGTCGATCACATCGACGAAGAATACGATCGGCTCATTCAATATCTTCGCGTTAGCGCTATGAAAACTGATAGTTCGAAGGCCACCAAGAGACTCTTGACCTGATACGCCAGCGTGGAATCGCACGAGCTGCAGGTAACCGTTAACTAACGTCCGAACATGAATGCGTCGTTTTTTGTTCAGCAATCGCGAGGTTTTTAAGCAGCATACATTTACTTCCATAGAAAAACACAATACAATACAACACTAGCTGACATTTCGGCAGTATCGCCCTCTTCAAAGCCGCTTTTTACGTGATTTCCAATGAGGAAGTTTAGAACAGCTGATTATAGTCGCATATGGTTGACTCATCAATACTGCCAAGATTTCCCCACTCTACAACGATATCAACATTGGCGTCAATAGAGCAGTTAGGCAAGGCGATAGCATCTCGCCAAAACTATTTGCCGCCACCCTCGAGAACGTCATGCGAACATTGGAATAGGATAATATGGGAGTGAAAATCGACGGTCGGTAGTTACACCATCCGCTTTGCTGATGGCATCGTCCTTATAACACCAAACATTAACCAAGCGGAACGTATACTTAACGACTTTGATAAAGCCTGTAGAAAGATTGGTCTTCGACTAAATATCACAAAAACGATGTTCATGAAGAACGGATTGGTTTCGCATGCCCCATTCACGCTCAACGGAACGAATATCTCCGAATGCTCCAATTATATTTATCTAGTTTGTGAATCATCAATATAATGAACGACCTAGCTGCAGAGCTGAGCAGAAGGAAACGAGCGGCTTGGGGACCTTTCAAGTGTATCGAGGATGTAGTGAAGACAACAAGTAACACCCGACACCGTGCCCACCTTTTCGACTCAACGGTACTTCCTGTTCTAACGTATGCGTCAGAAATCTGGTCGCTGCGTAAACAGGATGAAAGGTCACTCAGCGCTATCGAACGCCCAGTCGAAAGGACAATGCTAGGACTATGCCATTTCACATAAGCACACAAGTAAGGTATGGGATCCGAAGCTCCTATCTGCGTCAACGATCAAAAATCAAAAATGCCGTTCTTACGCCAAACAGTCGAGGATAAGGCGGGCCGGACACGTAAAGCGTATGAATGACAACCGATGGACGACAGCCGTTAGTGACTGGATTCCTCGGGATGTCAAACGTACTGCAGGAAGACCACCGACCCGATGGTTAGAGTTCTTCACAGAGCGCCTTGAAGAAAGATATGATGCTCAGTCAGTCCCTAAAGCGAGCAAAATCCACTGGGCTACTCCTGCACGCGACAGGGAATATGGAAGATTTATTGGCGCCCGTTCGAGCCACTCGACGATCAACGAGAGTACAGGTGATACAGGTGATCACCTATAAAACATGGTTGAGAGAAAGGTGAGACGATCGACCCGCATGATGTCGTAATAAGAGCGTTAGTCCCCGGAAAGGGTAATAGCGTGATAGATCCCCACCGCAGGCACCTGCGGTCCGGAGTTTTCCAAATATATCAGCATCATTTTGGTAATACGTGGAAATTAGTTATAAGAAGGGATTTGGTCCATTTCTGTTAGAGATGAAAACAAATTGAAACTACCAGAAGAACTACACTTCCACCTCGAGTTATCAACGATATTAAAGTGAGAGGGAAATTCATAAACAAAGAGAGAAAAGGTAGCTGTATAACTCTACGAACCAACTGAAACATCTATAAAACCAGTCGAACCGCACTGCATAGACAAGCTTATCTGTTTGTATGTGTAAAAGATGTAAGAGAATTAAGAGATTGAAAGGCTTTTCTTTTTAAGTGATATGCTACAAGATGACCGCGATGGTGCGTCACTGGCGATATTGTGGAAAGGAAAAGTGATCGCCAATCTCTATGGTGGTTACGCTGACAGGTTTTTCCTACTCTGCGACCGTGTCATAGAAATTTCTACCAAACTTGAATAAATTAAATTTAGCGAGTGATCGTACCTATCAAACGAGCTAAATGACGTCGGGAAACTAAAAATGTCTGGCTGAAGTACTTTTTAAGAGTTTTCTCGTGTCACGTTCATTCGGATCACCGACCTCTGAACCTTCTGAACCTAGTCTCAGTAGTTCTCTACACGCTCCGTTGAATTCGAAGCGAAGAACTATTCAAGTCATCAAGTTTCTTTCATTGGTACCTAGGCTCCGGTCATGCAACTCCTGTTTGTTTGTTTGCTTGTTTGGGTATGGCTTTGTTCAATGAAAAGATCAGGACATAACGCATCATCGAAAAAGTAAAAGTATCTTAAAGAAAATAAAGAATATTCATTCAAGTCGCGCTATGTGTAAGATAGCTTAGCAAAGTTTTAACAGCGGAAAACGTCCACAGCGATTACATCTGTAGGTTCTCCATGAGTTAATTTCAAATGCCCCAACTCTTGTAACATGGATTACCATTTCATTGTTAACTCCTCCGTATATTTCCCCTAGTACTCCGCTTACTTATTCAACTTATGAACGATTTTTAGGGAAGCTAATAGATTATGGGAGGAAAATACTATGGCTATCGCGTACTCCACCACAAAAATCTGGGCCGGGCTAACAGCAGCGATACTCGCAAGCAGAGGGTTACTGTACTATGACGAGAAGGTAAACTGTATAACGGTCCTGTAGACTTCAAATCAAGACGAAAATACGAAACACTGGATTCGTATATTAGATAATATAGTCGCATTTGCCTCCTAAAGACTACGAGACATAGAAAATCGTGTTGGAGCTCGTCGAATGGTGCATAGGAAATACATAAATGGCCTAGAAAGTTGCAGATCTCGCATTTCCGCATAGGCGTTTTATAAATGATGTCGTTTATTATGCAATCACAAAGTAGTTATGAGCTTAAGCTATCATTTGAAGAAGAAGAATACTTATTACCATATTTCTTTACATGACAAAACGTCACATGTCCAGATCGTAGCACTTCCTACATTCAAGTCGTTTCATCACACCCATCATCTGCGAAGGTCTCGGAACTTTTATGTGTGAGTACGGCTGCTAAGTGAAGATTCTCATCTTCGTCAACAATGTCGTTGAATGCTAGTCAAGACCATTCTGCTTGGAATCCTCAAGTAGCCGTGCTAAGGCGTTCGTGCTGGATAGGGGTTTTCTAAAATGAATCGGAAAGTGGTGGTTGGTCTCAAACAAATCAGGTACCCATTTCTCGACGCCGGAGGTGTGGGAAATTTACCGGACCCGGGGATGGATCGTCTGGATTGGTTGAGTTTTACTCGAAATGAATGGCCCCACTTCACCACTCGCCGTGGAATTGATTAGTATTATGGGTATTACAGAAGAAAATCACTAAGATTTTGTCAAGGTATTAAATCTAGTCACTTTGGCAGATTAAGCGGATATTTCTACGAATATCATTCAAAGAATGCATTTAATTCAGTATGAACTTCGTTCGTTCTAAGTTCGACGTCACTCCATTCTCAGGTGTCGTCATTCTGGCCAGAATTCGCTCAAAATGGAAAGCACAACATAACAGTGAGAGATGTACTGGACCACCGAGTGAGTTGTTGTGTATTCTCAAATTCCAGACGTAAAAATTTCTTCTCTATTCAAGGCCGGTCTGATCACTTTTGGACGTGAATTTATTATTGAAGAGGCCGCAGATTCCAAAGCTGTTTCAGCTTTAATAGAAGAAGTGAGTTCTGAACAATTTAGTATCTGATGAAAAACTACTTACAAAGGCAATATCGGAGTTCTAGAAGCTATTTGAAACATTGATAGCTTTCATATTCTTCCAATGGTGGCTGATCTGTAACAAACATTTTTCGTAAGGAAGAAAAGACGAAGCAAACAAATGAGTCTGACGTGCCGTCCCAAAAGGCTTCGGACTGTTCTAAATTCATACCAAATAACATCTTTCTTAGTAAAACTGAGATGGGTAAAGTATCTCTTCAATATACACCACAAAACTCATGACACCTCATCTTCTGTTCATAGGCAGTACCTCACTGGACTCCTGGATCGAGTCGAGGATATCACGCATTGACGTACGGATTTCTAATTGACGAGATCGTCAGACGACTGGATCCAATAAACCGTACCGTTGCAGAAATTTACAGTGAAGAGATATGGAAAGAAGGTGGAACTTGTTTATACACGTAGCTTAAGAACATATAGTAATAACTGGAATTTAGGTATCGATTTCCAGATAGGAAGTCGTAACATGGATGAGCGCCTGATCGCGCGGGTTTCAAATCCTTCAATCGTGGAGTCAATCATAGCCCACGTCAAAAGACCAATGAAGTGAGTTTGAGGCAGAAAATACACTTGAATTTCTCGAAACAAGGCCACTAAACCAAGCGCATGGCTTCTCTTAGCATTGAAATCAGAAGTGAAAACTAGATGCTCACCTTAAGAGTAAACAGGTCGGTGAAGATGAATTTTGCAGATATGCTCTTGACATTTACTTACTTGAAACAATTTTTAAATGGAAATGGAGAAATGTTTTGAGTTACTGGATGAACATTCAGAGCATTTTAAGTTTACCTGAGAGAAACCGAAAGAAAATTAGCTTCCATTTCTGAATCTCCAAATTAGCCTATCAGGAAACGGCTACATTACGAAGTGGTACCGAAAGCCAAGTAGTAAAAACATCTTGGTTCATTACCTCTCCTCTCACCCCTCTCACACGAAAAGGGCGCTTATAAGAAACATGTTTCGAACAGCGACCAACGTGTACACGGGAAGAGAGCAGAGCGAGGAGCTGCGGAAGTTGGTGTGGCAAATACCCATTTTCCATGACTACGAAGCTCCTCGAGATAGCCGTGGAGGAAACCCAAGCCCCCAAACGACAACTCTAGCGATAACAAGGTCCCGTTTATCATGCCCTTAAATTAGAAGGGAATAAGTGCAGCTATAAAACGTTGCCGGTCTAGAAAATTCAGTAACCGTAATTGAAATGCCACTGAGCACTCTAAGACGCCAGCTGGTCCGTAACCGCTTGTATGTCCGTCTATGTACACCGCAAAATTGCATAATTTGTCCTAATGGTAGAGACGGTGATTGCATGAGTTCGGGTACAGTTTATCTGATCCTTTATGAAGCGTACGAGGACGAATATATTGGCGAAACAGGTAGACAACTCTGCGTCCGTATAAGAGAACACCTAGTCGGTAAACTTAAAGTTAAACCGAGTACTCCACTAGACACATATAGTACACAGAGACATAACGGGGAAGATTTTAAAGTAGACGATACGATGCTCGCACAGGAATCGAAAACGCAAGCGTGCAAAACTTTCGAGGCATTCTGGATTCCGAGAATCCGAAAATGAATCGCAGGGATGAATGCCTCATAATCATGCCTTACATTGGAGGGCATTTAAAGATGATATTTTGATGGGACGGCACATTACGCTTCCATGTGAATTTTGTGTGGTTGGTTTCCACGTGACATATTCAGTGGAAGGCTCAATGAAAGCGGTGAGTGGGCAAAGAAACTATTCTGTGTTCAATGCGATTGAAATCTTGGTTTAGCATCTTCTCTGTTTGATTATGGAAGTGTTTGGCTGGGTGGATTGCGGTCAACTTGGTCTTTCCAGGCTCTGAAGAAGCCAAAATCCGTCGAAACGTCAGCTTGTGCGTAAATAAAGGAATAAAATAGCACTTCGTGCTTGCTAAACAAGAATATAAAGAAATTTTCGATCAATGCCGAGGTTAATAGAAAGTCGGTCGTGGGAATTACAATTTTTAAAAATAACAGAAAAGGCATGCGATCCAGAGAAGCCGCGTGATGTTTTCTTATACTACTTTTCCCATAACGAACACTTATAAGAATTATTTTCGGTTCTTCAAAGTTCTATTGTCTCACATCAAGCGAGGCGGACTGGCCACGAAATCGGCAAGCTATCCTCATTTTATGGGGATCTTGAGAAGGGTGAAGTTACTTATTGCATTAAAAAATGCTAAGAGTTCTTGTAGTAGTTCTCATTCTTCTGTTGTAAAAAAAAAATGGGTAACTCACATATTTATACAAGGACTCGATTCCGTACAACGATCCGAAAATCAGACAGTTGCCTTCAATTAGCTGCATGGGGATCGGTACGGCACTCGGATTCGCACGCTCTATCGAACAAGTGATTACGGTATACAGAATTAGATAAATAGCTATTTGGCTAATTTCATAGCATGCCCAGCACATATCCTTAGTCCTCTTAGTTTTTGAAAGATATTGCTTGAAAAACACACCTTTGCCTGAAATGTTGTTGAAGTCTACACCTTGAATCTTCTTTTCAGAGAAAACTGATTGCTGATGAGATTTGGAATCTTATGAGAGTACCGACGGCCACTGAAGAGGACATCGTACTCGCCACTGTGAAATCGTTTGGTCACGGCCTAACTTACGCCCAAAATCCCGTTAAAGAAAATGTAATTCCATTTTGTTCTATCCAAAACAAAGGACAAAATTGCCGGGTGGACCGAAGCATTTCTATCCGAAATGCGTTTGTTTCTCGAGCCTTAACGACGCAACTGATAATTTAGAGAATAACTTATGTAAGAAAATACGTGAACATCACTACATTTTTGAAGATTAAAAATCCGATCATATCGCAGACTTCCGAAAACCATGCTTCCATTCCAGGAATGGATCATTAAAATTCTCGGGAATGGACTCCAAGTCGTAGAAGTGGACCAAAAAGAAGAGGTGAGCAGTCATCCATCTTCCCTATTCTATGTGCACAACAGGATTGAATAAGCCGTCGGCACTAAGTTGTGTATGATCACAGCCAAATGTGAACCGACAAAACATGACCGCTGCCAAATATCTCAATGCTCTTTTCTAAAAATTAAAAAAGAAGAACATAATATTCAAAATTTATTATCCTAACATTCCCAAATTTGAAATTGGTCTCCAAGCCTATATCACTGGCTTAAAAGGTGGGTCGATAAAAAAACTCCGAACTCCTAATCCTGATGAACATTACACGACATAATAGCAGATATATAAGACACATGTAACAGGAATCGATACAAATGGGTTTTTCAGATCATAACCGTAATGTTGAGAAATGGACTACGCGCTGGAGAAGACGGAATGCAAGAACTTGAAGGAATATCAAGAACAATTTTTCAGACCACCGCTTGATGCTTAGCAAGATTTATCAAAATCAATCGTATAAAAAACGAAATAGTGTAAACTGTACAGGTGGAAAAATTCCCGTAAACGGAGAAAGCATAAATCAAATACTAGTGAGGAAGAAAAATAAAGAATATGTGTAACAACTAACATTCGGACAACTTTGCACGTTTATGATTGTTCTCTATGGTACTTTCGTCTGTAAAAAAATCAGTAATCTCCAAGTTCGTATATGATTCACATTTCATGTGTGTATGACTGGCATGGCGGAAAGTCTCATTCGATAAGTTCACCTGGAAAAAATTCAGATTCAATGAACTCCGTAGTTAAAAGCACGTAGGCTTATTTATAATGTATGGCTAATCCAGCTTCTTACGATCTCACTGCGTTTGAATAATATTGCATGGAAGATTTTCTGGGCCTTAAAGTTATAATGCGCTCGTCAATAACGTTTACTGGTGACGATAGTTAAGACTTCCAAACTTTTACTCTGCCTTAAGATGTACTACCCTATCTGACGTGCCACAGGTGTATTAAACGACTACCATTCCGTTCTCTTCCCGCCTCAGCAATTATTCGATTTCTGACGCTTACATTAATGTAGACGAACCCGAGAAATTTAATACAGTAAAAACGAGTTTAACACAATGTAATAACATTTTATTTGCGGTCTATTATTTTCCCTTCTATAAAACATGGCTCAGAGACGAAACGAAGGACCTGTATGGTATGGTGGTGAACGCGTTAACGCCCGGAAAGGGTAATAGCGTGTTCGATCTCGAGCGCAGACACTTGCAGTCTGGAGTTTGAAAGATTTTAGTTGGCAACAAACTACGATAATCCTCCAGCAAAGCATGTCTATGGAATTAATGATCGTAATGTCATACTTCCCATTATTAAACTAAAGAATGTCAAGTGGATGTTTAAAATTCTACAGTCAAAATGAAAAAGTCATAAAAGTATTAGAAAATTTTACCTGGCCAAGGACGTCGAGTTTTCTTTGTACAAGAGGCCAAATTACATCATCCGCAGTATTTCGGGCAACAAGATATTGCACAAAAACACTATCCTTCTGTCCTACTCGATGTGCACGATCTTCAGCCTAAAATACAACAATAACATAATGGAACAAACATATTATAATATTTACTACTATATGGACCATATGTGATTCGAATGATGTGAAACTGTGGTAGCTTCCAACTTTGAACTAGGATATATCAGCCTACAAATAATAACAAAGGATAAAGCGTTTAGTGTTGATCGATTATTGAGGAAGACACCATGAATTCGACTCCGATCGAATGCCGTAGAGTTGATTGAATGCATATTTGGACTGCACAAGAAATTTCAGTGGCCCACATAGGATTCAAGCTAGTACTTTTTATCTTCCCAAACCTACTACTGCGCCTACCTCAGAAGGATAAAAGACTTGCTTTATCCGCAGTGCGATGTCGAACTAAGACCGTGTACATTGCTAGAAATCTATCACCACTGTCCTGGCTAAGAGCTACAAAATTGCAGAAGTAATAGTTTCCACTGCAGAAGCAGTGCCACTTTCTATACTCACTTCCTTTATCACAAATGTGGTTAGGAAGCACCTACAAGGGAAATAATTTGTACAGAAGCGTTATTTTCTGCAGAAGTTTTCAAACCTCTTCATCAGTACATCAAGAGTGCACAGAAACATGAATAGGACCGATATGAATGTTCTTACAAGGTCACGACTTTAGTTATTATTAAGAAAAGGATAAAGCTCCAGGCGCTGATCAATTCCTGGAGGATTCGTCATGCATTCAACTTCATGAAGCATCGTTTGGAGGTGATTGAATGCATATCTGGCCTTTACAATGACTCGCCGTGGCCTACCCATGTGTCGAGCCAGTGCTGATATCCTCCCAGACAAGTCTGGTACTAATTTGCCGACCGCGGAGGGATGGAAAGCTTGGTGGGCCATGGGTGCGGGGATCGATTCCATGTACATTGCAAGGCGCCTCCCACCATTGCACCATGTGCGTCACTAGTTATTATTAAGTATACTTTCTATTTTATAGTAATCATGATAAGAACTAGAGGCCCACTTGGAGCAATGTTCCAGGGTTCCAGTGTAGCTCGGCAAACACGACCACAGAAGCAGCCGTAAGTGTTATTCCTACGCCAGCAGCAGTAAGTGATAAAATTGCCACCATCACATCAGGATCTTCCTAAAATTGCACTGCAATTGTTGCAATGCAACTTAACGTGAGAAACAAGACATGGAGAAGTGATTCTATCAAGAGTTGAGAGATTAACAAAGACCTGGAACTGTTGGCATAAATTCCCACGATCTTTCGATAATGTTTGCCCATCAATTCGAACAGACTTCAAATTTCGCTTTTGAACCTATAAATTTTAGAAAAGGATAGAGCGAGACCAGCCAAGGAATTTCAGAATCTACCTCAACTTGAATTGAATCCATAACGATTTGATGATGTGCAAAAATTAGGACTTTCTTTTTAGGTGCATCTGGATAGAAATAATTCTCTAAAATATGTGAACACACCGCATCTGCCTAAAGAAACGATAGCTTTCAAATACGTAGCTTTTTATTTTAGAAAATTCGATAATAAACAAAATAGAAGGAATATATGAGAGTGAGAACATAGAGCTAACCTTAACAATACCCGTAAGGCTAAAATATTCCAACAAACACTCCTTCGGATCTTTTGCGTTTCCCTGAAATACCAAGGTCCATAATAACGTGATAGACAAAATCTATACTGCTTTTCCAAGTGCGAGAAAAAAATGTATATCCAAGAAAATGCTTATTACTCGTATTATACAATAAACCAGTCAAATGCTGAAAAATTAGTGGGATTACAAGCTTGGTACCAAATATTTAAGCAATAGGTGTAGCATACAGGTTGAGCCCGCTTGTTCGCTTCAAAATCATTTTTTGCTTTCTGTAGACTATCCATTCGAGAGTCAATCTTATGTCCAGATAGATAAACAACCTGAACTCATAGATTTACGATTAATTTACAACTAACGTGTCAAGAATACCTCTCTGCGTTTATCGGGAAGTTCAGTAAGCACTTGGGATTTGAGACGGCGAATCATAACCCTCTTAGAGAGAATAGCATTCAGTTCATCGCTATTTGTGCACCCTTTCGCCTATAACAGTAACGAAAGCAGTAAAAACGGACATGCCGTTGTAAGCAGATGAATACCTCAAAACAGAATCTTCCTTGTTTTCCATCACAATATCGTACAGCAAATTCGTGAAATTTCGGGAAAAGACTATCGTTCACCAGCTTGATTTGAGAAAACAGCTCAGCTGGTCTCGATAGGGCCGGGGTACCAGATAAAAGAATTACACGTGATGCCCGTTTCTTAAGTAAAAACTAATATTTTGACTTTAACATTGTCGCGTTAAAAATCGGAAACGGACCGAAAGTGAATGGGCCACTTTAGTGCGCTTGGCTTTCATATCTTTCAACATGTGAGACTCGTCCTAGAAGTAGGAGAATTTGCTAGCTGGATTTAGCTAACATTCAAACACATTTCCAACAAAAATACGAACACTTAATTAAGTGCTTGCGACTACTTACGAATATGATAACGTAATAATGAGCTTCTTCCAACTGCTTCTTTCTAAGAACCATTAGGTCGTAACTCATTATTGCAATCTAAAACGAATATCGACTTAGAGAAAGTCAATTATAATGGTGCTGAGATATTGGTAAAACTATGGATCGGTGGTGTCTGCGGTGAGGATCGAACGCGCTATTATCCTCCAAGGAGGCTAACGCGCTCATCACCACACTGTGCGTGTCATTCATTTCACCTGTTTCTCAACTAGTTTTCTATCTACCAGTGCCATCACCAATCACTCGTCAACGGATTGTGGTTGTACCACACATTATAGCCTGCCATGAAAAATGGTAATCGGCGGTGAATAATGAAGTTAACATTGTAAAATCACCAATGAAAAATAACTGCTATAACAAAAAAATCGACAAGTTTAAAATTGGTCGAAAGAAAAGGATTAGAATAAAATAACTGACACTACCGTATTCGACGTCCGCGCTTCCGGTAAAGGATCCGACCCCTTCTCAACTAGGAAGATTTTGTGTATCATGGGCATAAACTTGTTAATTTGCTGCAAGATGAACAGATGCCCACAACGATAAGTTTCGGCAAAATTAAGCTTCAGTTCACAAAAATTGTACCAAAATAGAGAAACAAACCACTTTCCACGCAGTTTTGACCGATGAAGGGCAGATTATTAACAGAGGCCACTCGGCTCTAAAAAAAAACTGTAGATGTTCTAATAAAGTAAAAATACGATAATGTACTCAAAGCACTACGCTAAATCCGCAATAATCAGAAAATCAATCGAAAAAGTCAACAAAACATTCGAAATTACTTGTAGTATCGTGCTAAAGTAAGCGCCTGCACAGATTTTCCAAGCCCCATCTCATCAGCGAGTAAAATGCGTCCACCTCTTTCAATTCCAAAACTATAGAAAAGAAAAAGTATGAACGGATACAGCCATGATGAAAGTAACCTTCAAATGTTGAGAATGATAGAACTTTTCAGCTGAAACAATGCTGTGGACTCACGCAACGCCAGCTTTCTGGAATGGAAACAGCCGTTGGATTAAAGCTGGATCCAGAATAAGAGATAAATCGGATGGAACAGCGTGTCTTGAATGACTTTCGTCGCCCAACAACTTCAATACATTGTCAGGAATAGACTCCAGTGTAACATTTACAGCCTGAAGAAAGTAACCATGAAACATAAGACGTTCACTTAGCATAAAAGAAACAGTTCAACTAAACAGAATTCTCCCTGTTATTTATTTTTAACTGGGCAAGCAGCAGAAAGTGTTTAATTTGCTGCATGAGTACGAAGAATTTAAGAATACGAAAGAAAGGAACCAACTACTGCTTACTGAAGGACCGCGTCATAAACTAACTTGTTGAATTTTTGGCAACAGATAACTCGAAATAAGGACCAAGGATAAAGCTCAAGGAGTTCATCAATCCATGACCGAAGTGCCATGCACTCGACTTCATTATGCACTGTGGGAGGAAACGGAGGGCACATCTGGCTCCTACAATGATTCGCGGTGGCCTAACGATGTATCGAGTGCTGATATACTCCCAGACAAGTCTGGTGGCAATTTGCCGACTCCGACTGGATAGAGGGCTTGGTAAGCCTGGGGCATCGAGATCGATCTCATAGGTACTGCACGTCACCTCCGACCACTGCGCTTCACGAGGATTACTAACTCGAAAAAGCCAGTTCAAAATGAAGTTGGAGAAAACGTTTCGCAACAATTTAAAAGTACCACACCGTAAGCTCCTTAAAGATATTTTGACATTTCTTGAGGTCAGAAAAGGCAATGCTCCATGTGCGATCACACGAATCGTATTGGCGCGACGGGATTGACTTGATGGCCTCCAATACGGCACTGTGATAAGGAGAAAATCGCACCTGGAATTGCGTCAGAAACAACTAAACATAACTGTAGACTATAACATTATAATTGTATACCATGAATACTTGAATAGATCGTCATCAGCAATTAAGAAGAAACTCTCTAGCAACAACACAATTTCCACTTGATGGGTAATTTGCCAATGGAGGAGGAGTTTCTTTCGCAAGTCTCAGAAGCACAGCTGAGCTTTTTGACCAATTCTTTACTGATTGCCAGCTATGTTGTTGGCAGAACGGCAGTGATTCTTGTTACTCACTGGTTTAGTCTTAGCATGAGTTTAGGATGAAGATGTTGAACTACATTTCAGTTAAACAGACATCCTTGAGAATCCTGAGATTCTTGAGCAACAGAGAGAAAGGAGATGAATCGAACGCTCTATATGACATTTCGACACCCATGAGCACTTCTAAACCATGATGAGGCGGTAAACCGTTAAGTGAAGGAGAAGTATAGATAAAAACACCAAGACAGAATGTAAACGATTGTGGTCAGACAAAAAGTCGTAAACAAAAAACAACTGAACCTTGATTCTGCCATTTGTGAGGACAGCAAGAGAAACATAAATGTTCGACTTCGTGATTATCGCAGATGTCGGTGGTTTAAACTTTCTAGGACCCGTAAGAAACATCTAAACTGCGGAATTGAATGAACAACTTTAAAAATTGAACAAAATCACCTGTGGGATGGTGGTGGGACGGAGTCCTTGCTGAGGCGGTACAGTTGTCTTCTGAAACGGAAGATAATAAGAAGATGAGAAGAAGCACCCGAAAAGCCCGACCGATCACTCCTGCAGAACTGAATGATTAAAGTTAGGAAATTGAACAAAATCACCTGTGGGATTGTGGTGGGACGAAATCCCTGGTGGGACGGTACATCCGCCTTCTGAAATAGAAGATAGGAGAGATGAGGGAAACACTTAAAAAGTTCTCGACAGACCACTCTTCATTTAAGAATTCACTTCATTAGTAGGAGTAGTAGTAGTAGTAGTAGTAGTAGTAGTAGTAGTAGTAGTAGTAGTAGTAGTAGTAGTAGTAGTAGTAGAATTGAAAGACTAAACTTAGAGAATTAAACAAAATCACCTGTGGGATGGTGATAGAAAATCCTTGGTGACGCGGCACACTTGCCTTCTGAAATGGAAGATAGTACAAAGATGAGATGAAACACCAGAAAAGTTCGACAAATCATTCCCCATTTAAGAACTTACTCCACTTGGACCAGCAGCAATAGCAACAGCAGCAGCAGCTAGAGCTTCTCGTCGTTTTCGTTCCTCTGCCCTTCGAAGTGCTTCGGCTCTGTTGGCTACTATCCTTATCTTTTCGTCTTCCGTTAGTTCTCTTCTCATTACCCTTAAGATCTCGATGGATATAGTAGTTCCTTAGAAAACAATATGAGAAAATAGTGACCCTATACAGTCATTAGAAGCGTCATTTACAACTTTAGCTTTAGCCTTAGAGCACTTAGCTCTATTTAAGGTTATGTGATGTCGATTTATGATAGAACATGCAGCATTCTACCCATTATTTAATATAAATAACCCTTCTGAGTTTCTTTCTTATTTTTCAAATGTTGATTTCAAATACTTAGTTCACCATTGTCAAACAAGATGAGTAAGAGACATGAATAAGAACAGAGTGAATAAGATTATGAGATGAATGAATGAAGAAGAAACAAGAGATGAACGAGATGGATAACGAGCGACCTATACAGGACCGTCAAGCTGCCGAAGGCAGAGCTCAACAACAAGACAAGGATTCAGTTTTCTTCTAAGCGTAAGTCTAAAGAGAACCAAGAATTTGTTATCAACTATAGAGCGAGACAAAGAACTCAGGAAAGCCAGCAAGGAGTTCATTGAATAACAAGTAAATTCACAAGGTACCGTCTTCGTAAGGTTCGTACCAATGGAAAATTAAAAAACTGAACAGTCAACGATGGTCTTCAACCAGAAGATTGTCGAGGTCGACCAAACCAACCTGCCTAAGGTCAGCGTCGCTGACGGGCTCCCTTAGAAGCGGGACGGTAGCCCTACAGTCTTACGTCTTCACTAGACGATAACTGTACTTCGAGTGAGTTACGGTTAGAAGTGGTCTAAGACAGCTATAGAAGAGCCACAAGACGGAGAGGAGAAGAAAGATAATGAAGATCAAAAGAACATTCCGGAAATCAGTCCCAAGCACCCTAACGAAGTGCACGTGCCGACAGTGAAATCATGAATTCCGGACCTTCTCCAGAAATGAGCAACCCCGGCTTTCGTCGCTCATTCATGAAGATTCCAGAGGACAAAAAACGCTTCACTAAATCGAATTTCACTTAATCTCAGCACGAATAACCAATACACATCTTTTAGACCGTTCATCTTACATAAAGTTCAGGCGCGCGTAATGTAGTCGACATGTGTGGCCCAATGGTCGGAGGCGCCCTGCAATACATATAGGATCGATCTCCGTGCACAAAGCTCACCAAGTCTTCTATCCCTCCGGAGGTCGGCAAATTGGCACGACTTGTCTGGAAGGATAGCAGCACTGGCTCGATACATCGGTAGGCCACCGCGAGCCGTTGTAAAGGCTAGATATGCATTCAGTCACCTCGAACGATGCTTAATGAAGTCGAATGCATGGCGCATCCCTCAGGGATTGATCAAAGCCGAGAGCTCTATCCTTTATCTTTTACACGAGGTTAGTACAATGTACAATATATCTAATGAAAAAAATTAGGACCTTGCCACCCTTAAGAGTTACCCCGTATGCATGAAAAGTGAACACGAAGAATTGTGGGACTACAAGTCATACAGATCAGCTATAATCTATGCTTTCAGCAGGACCCTCCTAGTCTTTACGGGAGCGTACGCATTGATTTCAATATATATGCTAGTGCACGCTGCTGACCGACCACATTGACGTCAATACGCACACCTCTCGCTGGCTTATTTCGACTCATAGAGCTTTTGTCAAGCATTTTGTAGTAAGTCGATGGCTCATAGTACATAGATGTAGTCACAATGATGCTGAGGTATTTGGAAAACTTCCGACCGCAGGTGTCTGCGGTGAAGATCGAACCAGCAATTACCCTTTCCTTAAAATTAAGTGGGTTCAATGCCGCTTTGTGCTCCCCAAATCAATCCTGTTTACGGGTGATCGTTGATGGCAATGTTAAGTAGAGAACTCTGATGGAAATGCGAAACGAAGGACGCGCATGGTGTGGTGGTGAACGCATTAACCCATGGAAAGGGTAATAACGCGTTCGATTCCCATCGCGGACACCTGCGGTCCGGAGTTTTGCAAATATCTCAGCATCATAATGGTTCCAGTCCACATAATAAGCTGCTGTGAAAAATTGTTCTAGGCAGTAAATAAAAAGTTAACATAGGTGTTGTGTTGGGCGTATCTCATGTATTCTGACCAACGCCGATCACGACCGAGTTTCGAGAAAGTGGGTTTCACTCCTGTCTTCTTCATTTTGACAGTCTACGAAGTGCTTGGCAATTGATTGACAAAGGATGGAACTCTTCTTCCATCCTCTGTCAGTCAAATGAAGAAAACAGTACGACGTAAAACGGAATTTTCGCTGGAATTGTTTGTGGGAGTGCTCGATTCCGTTAAGAAAACCTTAGAATGAGGAGACGAGTTCAACTTTAGACAAGTCAATCTGCGAGCCATGATTTGGTGACAACGATGTCGCTTTCTACACATCAGCAGAGTGAACACACAGTATGGTTGACGAATAACAAATAATGAGAAGAGCGTGTTGTTTTCTCGCTTCTCAACAACTTCTCGAAAAGTGCCTTGATCAGTAATTACCAAAGAGCCTTTCGTCTTTCTGTAAGTGTTATTGAAGCGTTTGGCCTAGTAGATTGTATATCAGCATACCCTTCCAGGCTCTGAAGAAGGCGATACTGCCGAAACGTCAGCTAGCGTTGTATTGCATTGTGGTTTCTTGTGGAAGTAAATGTATGCTGTTTAAAAACCTCGCGATTGCTGAACAAGAAAACGACACATTCATATTCCAATGCCGAGGTTAAAAGAAAGTCGATCCTGGGAACTATTACAAGTGAGAAGAGCAATTTTATCAAAGATCAGTCACCAGAAAGATGCTATATCTATGCAAGATCTACTTCACTTAGGAAAACTCCAGCAGATTAGTCTATAGAAGGTTAAACGCAGACCGAAAGCGATTTTGTGCTTTCGTTGTATATAGACAGATTCAAAGATCTCCTTGTTTCTAGTATGTCGAGTTGTCATATATCTCAAGTATGCCCACAGGGATTCATGCATGTGTAGGTAGGTCTAGTCACCTCATGCGCATATTGTATCTTAAAAGTCAGTTCGAACAAAGGCTCCAGTCAAGTGACCAGGAACCACATGAAAAGTGGTTAGGAGTTGCTTTCGCCGAATAAGCTCCTTGTCAACTCTGAGAAAGAGCGGAAGGCTACCCATGAAGAAGTCCAACGCACTTATAGTCGTCCAAGAATAATGAGAAGAATAAGAACTGGTATCTATCTTTAAACCTTGCAAAACAGATGGGCGTAATACTTCTGACCCTAAAAGTCCTGATTCATTGAGTTTATTTGGTAGGATGAGGCGCGTGTAGCGCAGTGGTTGGAGGCGCCCTACCGTACACATGGGATCAATCCGCGTGCCCCAGGCTCACCGAGCCCTCCTTCCCTCGGAGTCGGTGAATTGGGACCAGACTGTCTGGGAGGATGGCAGCACTGGCTCGACACATCGCTAGGCCACTGCGAGCCATTGTGAAGGCCAGATATGCATTCGATTACCGCCATCAATGTTTACGATGTTTAGTGAAGTCGAATGCATGTCACATCACTCAAGGATTGATCAACGCCGAGAGCTTCAAGCTTTATTTGATCCAATGCTGCGACGATTCGAGTCGAATGTCCTCAGCAGTTGCTTCTTGAGATGTGAACCTTCGCTGTCATCGCACAAATTCATATTGAGTAAATTGGAGTAATTTAGGTTGGGAAGTAGTACCTGACTTGTTTAGGATCACCTCACTCCCTCTAATCCACATGGAAACTCCCTAGCACGGCTATTCCAGGATTCCACAGAGAAACGACTCGACTATTATTATGAGACTTTCATGAAGAAGACGAAATCCGCAATTAACCGCCGAACCAACTCAAATCTGAAGACATTGTCCTTGATCCAATTATTAGTTTTCACTTTGAAAACTCTTCCTGCAGCAGTGAGATTAATACTTGATACTTGATACTTGAACGGGCCGTCATCACTAGTTGTGCAGACTCCAGCATAATCACCATTTTTCCGAGATTTGCAGGTTGAGCCATTGTGGTTCACCCGAATCCCGAGACAGCCTGGCCAAAGTCTAGCCCAGGTCGTCACCACGACAGGTAGTCGCAACCTTGTGGATCTGAGGAATATTTGCCACTAGGCGACTTTGATACCAAGACTGTGGTGGGTCCTGGTATTAGTTTACTCTTAGCTAGGCTTCCTGATGGAAACACCAGACTCCTTCTCAGCTTGGGAGACCCTGCCGGGAAATGAATCCCCTCGCTGTACATCGTAGTCTGACATCCATGAACATCTCCCAGCCACGATGAGGCGGTAAACCGTTGGCCGGAGTGAGATTAATACCAACTTGCACATAACAAAACGCATCTTGCGTGGGAGAAGTTCTGCGAAGGTTTTATCCACCATTTGGTCATCGTTATCGATCTCAATGCTAGGATTGGACCCAGATGTTTGAAGAACGCCACATTGAGAAGCAAGGATAGTATAGAAGAAGCAGGTTGAGCAACTCTCTGACTCTGTCAAGTTGTCTAAGACTCTTTTTGATAACGAATAATTACATGGACGGTGGAGTTTACCAGTGGAGAGTACCCTAAATATGGAAAACGTTCCGTCCAATAACCGATGTCTGTTGTTCTAGAATTTTACACAAGATCGCAGTAGGGTCTAGTGGAGGCGTTTATACACAGAAACACTGGACTTAGTACATCAACGTACTTAGGTGCTTCGATGACCCAACTTGAGCGATTGTGTGAACCCTGGCATAATTTCCGCTTTTCCGGAGTTTTGCAGGTTTAGCCATTGAGTTTCCCCGCATCCCCGAGGTCCGTCTAGGAAAGTCTGCCCCAGGTCGTCACCACCACAGCCCCTATAGATCAGAAGGAAATTTGCCACCATGCGACTAGTTTGATACCAGGACGGTGGTGGATCCTTATATTGGTTTACTTTTAGCTGGGCATCCTGGCAGAAACACCGAACTCCTTCTCAGCTTGGAAGACCCTGCTGGGAGCATGAATCCCCCCGCTGTACACTGCAGCTCGACACCCGCAAACACCTCTCAGCCACGATGACGCAGTAAGGCGTTTGAGGAATGCACCTACATAATATCCAGAATCCGCATGCAAACACTAGTTGACATCCGAACTTGCAAAGCGATGCTGAGGTGCAATAAAAGTGTCTGAAGAGCAGGAAAAAAGCAAAGGCTAAACGTGTAGAGATTGGAATATACATCAACAACACTAACCGCAACGTCACTAACCGTTAGACTCCGATGTTCGCCCTCTGCCACCTGATCAGAACAGTCACTGTATCTCGGTAGGCGACGGAAAAAATCGTTCACGGCTTTTGCTCCGGGTTTTTCAATGGTGAATTTCTCATATAAAGTCATGAGAAATGGATATGTTATCACAGCAGACCATCTTTCTGAGCCCGACTTGCTATCTCGTAAGTGAATAACCGCAAAACACTCACCCTGGATACGATTAGGTACAAGCACCTGAGCAGCCGGTCACCAGTCCTCAGTAACACGTCGATTCAGCTCTTCACACGTTACCAGTTACACGGACATGCCGCTGTACGAGAAAAAACATCTGGCTTTCTACATTAACAATAGGGAATGACTGACCAGAGGGAAGAATGCCGCGACAACTTCAAGATGCTTACAGCAGGGACTTACAAAGAGAACTAGTGAAAATCTGTTTCGTCTATTAGTAAAAGAAGAATCCTACCTAAATTTTGCTAGGAATTTACTAGGAATGTAACAACGTTTGCGAACAGCAACATTAAACAATCTTTACTCACAAGCACACTCAAAACAACATTATAAAGCAATTTTCTCATGAAGGTTGCATCAAGATCAACATCAATACTACAAAGTTCCTAGGCGACTACATAAATGACATCGCATAAATTTGCCAATGTTCTATGATTTCTAGTAGGGACCAGCTCCTTGGGGCAATCGAAAATGTTGCAGTCACTCGTAATTTCTGCTTTCTATCAACATGACAGAATGAATGTAGCATCCTAAACGTATTTCAAGGAACTAGTCTAACAAGTGTCTCCACATTTCTTCCTGTGCAAGCCGCCCTTGACATTCACAAAACCTGATTCTAATCCGGAAAGTCACTGTACATATGGAATGCGAATGCTACCACATTCGCACTTGCTGATTTCCACTATCGACTTTTGGCATCACAAAAAACCCCTATTTTTAGTCAAGACATGATAAAATGGCTCAATAATGTGAGAGTTCGTTTATCACACATTTCTTGAACGGTTTCCATCCCCATGACTTGTCGAGCTTGTCCTGAAACGAAAATAATAGGTGAAACGAGGATACCATCTAATGAACAGTATAGTAAAGTTCTCAATAGTTAGTTCAAAAATTATCACTGCTGGGGGTCAGAGAGCCATAAATAATCTCCTTGTGTATCCGTCGTGCTCCCAAATCACATGTTTCGAACAAAGTGGCGAGGAATAAGGCTCGATTTTGCAGCAGAAATTATCATAACACGAATTTCAGTAAAGGAGAGGCTCGTGGCGTTGTCTCGTTGGATAATAACGCTGTTTGACACCTTAGTTAGCACTTGAGTAACCATGGGCATTGATATCAATGCACGCGAGAGAGGGCACAATACAGGATGTTTTTTCTCGTCGCCCCTTCCTTACTACAAGCTTTTCTGTGCTTTCTATACTCAATCGAAACCTTACATATTACAGATTTTGTGCCTGCTATGGGCTATGCTTAGGAAAGACCTTTTTCGAACGAATTTTCCAATGCATACCGGCGGAGAATTAGGTATAGCGGTCACATAAAATTGGGCGCAGTCATCAGTCATGGATGTGTTACTATGAAAGACATCTCAATTCCACGAGATGAAGGTTTTAAGACAATTTTTATATTCAGTGAACGGTATTTTCCAACAAAATACGTTTGTTGTTGAACAATTCAGATCTCGATATCGTATCTTTGGATGGTCACACTAAAAAACCTTTTATGGCAACCACTGATTGCACTGTTAGCGCACAATTCAGCAATCATCTACTTGTTCATACTTTGAGTCCTCTATGCAGCCTGTCATTCATCACTGCCAGAAGTTCGGGATAACTAAGCGTTTCGTCATCATTGGCGTCGAATATGCGAAAAATTAGGGACACCAGATGTGGATCCAGGGACTCACCTAAACACAAGAAAAATCTGGAATGTTGTAGAAAACTTGTAAAGGGACTTAATGCAATATACCAGTAGTAGTTTGGACCGCCCGTGTAAACTCCAGAGGTGAAACTGGAATATCGGCATTGGTATAAAGACGCACAGCCGTTGCGAATTCTTCTAGGTTATTTAAAAACACAGAAAATCGAGCCCATTCGCTAAGAGTTATACCCTAAAATAAAGAGGGGGGTTCAATTTATTTAATCCAATCGGAGTCGTTTATTTACCTTATCGTCTTGAGGTGTACGTTCTTTGACACGATTTATATATGTGTGATAATCATCCTTGTTAATTATCGTGTACCTAAAAACAAAAAAATAAAAACAAGAATAGAAAGAAAAGGCAAAAGCATCATCTCGATTAAAACTGGTGTCTGATATTGAGTATTATCTCCAACTCATCTCTAACTAGCAGGAAAATGCAGTTAGTATAATATAGGCAAAATTATGCAGAACCTTAAAACTAAGCGTGCGAAATCCACAGGGGAGATAGTCGGCTTTCCACGTGAAAACTCATGAAATTCTATCTCCATTATCTCCTCTTGTAAATTTTTATAAAACCTAGAAAGAAAGATAGGACTATTTTTAAGGACACGGAAATACAAACTGGAATGAAACACCCAACTGTCTGAATTCCTCAAAAGAAAGGTTATGATTGCCATGTACACCAAACAGATGTATCAATAATGTCGTATCTTGTTTCCTCACGCTCTCCTCACTTTTCTAAATAAAACACCAGTTCACCGAAGAGTAAGCAAAATACGATCACACAGGAATTCTTCGTCTTCATTAGTCGCATTCCACAAGTTTGTCACCACAAAGTGCAATATTAAAGTAAATCAAGAGGAAAGAAACAAGTTTCGTACAGAGTAGTAGAGCTCGTTGCGAACATTCTGGAGGTCTTTAGTCGTGGAAGGTCACAACTGCTTTTAGTAAAAATCTGATCAGACCAAGCTATTTAGTCCCAAACGTTTCGAAAACACTAACTTCACGGCATTTAACACTCTCATAGATATGCACCGCAGGATTGTATTCCACAAAAAATCCACCAATTCCGGATGGTGGTAATCTTCTTGTATTAGATGGAATAAAAGTTACTTTATTCTTAGAAGACGAATTGTTTCCCTTTTTTCTACCTGGTCCATATTTTACATCTACTGTACGGATCCCAGCACTTTGATTTGATTCGTTTCCCTAGCATAATCGTGCACAAAGGTACTCGAACACTTCGCATGTTGTTTCTGGTGCTTGAGGACTTCATTATGAACGTCGCAGAATGCTGGTTTAGTCGATTATCTTTGCAGTCATGGAGAGAGTCGAGTTAAAGCGGCTCCATGTTGATTGGGGTAGAGCTTTGGCAGAGGGTCGAAACAGCACCTTGCTTCCTTATGGACTGCATCATTGTCCACTACGCTATCCCTTCCTTATTACCAATTTACGAAACGCAAAATACGAAGCACTTGGATGCTTTGAATCTCGGAGTTCGATTAATTGCTTTATGGTGTTGACGCATGTACATAATTCGCTAAATACCCCAGAAATAGCAGAAACTTCCAGAAATGCTCGAGGTTCTCACAACTTCGCATATCCGTCTCTAGATCCCCAAAACCAAACCAAAGAAGTATTGTAATCTACTACAATCTAGCGACAGAAAATCGTAATAGATTACCGCGCGAAAAACTGCTTATTTGTAGCAATGAATAAACAACTTTTAATGGAAACCGACTTATATATACATCTCTAAATTGAAGGTTTTGATAACACTCTAGGATACAGCCACAAGGATGGGTCAGACATAGCGCGGTGGTTAGTGATACTGTCGACCAGGAAGCAAAGGCGCTAGTTCGATCCCCATCTCAGTGCTCTTACCCAGTCGACGTGGTAATACGTTTGCACGGCCATTTCAAAGATCGCAAGGATAATTGACTCGATCAACATTCTACTACATTCATAAAGAAGGAAACGTTTTTAAGCAGCAGCTGAAACAACACGCGAAATGTTTGAAGACCATTGTGGATGTTGGGTGCGAAGGAACGAATCGTACAGAACTGCTGGGATCCGCATAATAAATATGAAGACGGGTCGTGTAAAAAAGAACCACAAAGATGATGAGATATGAGCAAAACTCGGAACCTCGGTTGGGCTTCGAACTTGTAATTACCTATTACAGGGGGCCTCACATGCTATCTATCAAACCAACCGATTCCTTGTGTTACCCTTCTCACAGCAACATTTTTACTCCGTTGATGTTGACAGCAATCATCCGTCAACTAGAATCATTTGGGGAGCACAAATCAGCATTGAACTTAGTCAAGTGATTGCTCAAAGCATGATAACGTCAGCCCTCGAAAAGGGTAGTTGGGAAAGCTCAGAGCATCTTTTTGGCTGTACTTCAAATCACATTCTGGCATGAAAACATAATAGGGAGCACTAAACAGAGGTTTAAAAAAATTTATGGTTTACTTTAACGCAATCGCCAAAATGCTGGTTTTTCGACAACTGTCGACAGATTTTCGATAACGAAAAATCTAGAATTTGGCACTTTGCATAGTTCACTCTACTGCTACAAATTTACTAAAACGTCTTTTATGTTTAAAACTTGCACAAAAAATCCGTTTCCAAAAAATCGAAGGAGCATTTTAAACTTGAATGATTTTTTAAAGTAAGCGCGGCAGCCGTGCATTTGAAGACATCAACACGTTCTGTGGAAGATAAAGGGTTAGGTTAAACGAAAAAAAGCAAGAACGTCTTTTGGCCTCCAGGAAATCGAAATTTCACTTTGGTAGAACAAGGAAACTTAAACGTCATTGACAAAAATCTCTACTTCCTTCGGATTTCCAGATTAATAAACGTCAGTGTGAGCTGAAATACGAGCAGACCAGCTCGACCGTCACGAAGACTCTCACGTCCGCTGCGAAACCTTTCTTAACAGCATTTCGTGTCCAGCTGGAAGAAATCCATCTATTCATTTACTCGAGTTTTTGACATAGGGGAAAAAACCGAAAAGCTTTACAACGACAGAGTAAAGTTCTTTCTACAGGAGTGTCAATTTTTAAGTCCTATCTATTTCTATCTATTCTAGCTGTCGAAATACCAACGCATTATCGAAAACCAGCACACTCCGGAATATACTAATAGTAACACTATCGAAGAAAAATGTAGATCGTGAAAAAACCAGTTCGTGTAAAGAAGAATGTAAGGAAAGAAGAAGAAAGAAATGAATTAACTAAGATCTAATCATTCCTAAATTAATGGTGTACAGAACACGCTCCACTTTTCTGTACGAAGCTAATGCATGTGTCGTTTTCTTGTTCAGCAATCGCGAGGTTTTTAAACAGCATACATTTACTTCCATAGAAAAACACAACACAATACAACGCTAGCTGACGTTTCGGCAGTATCGCCTTCTTCAGAGCCTGGAAGGGTATACTGATATACAATCTACTAGGCCAAACGCTTCAATGACACTTACAAAAAGACGAAAGACTCTTTGGTAATTACATGATCAACAACTTCTCGAAAAAACCCACCGCTTTTTCGTGACTTCCAATGAGGAAGTTTAGAACAGCTGATTATAGTCGCATGTGGTTGACGACTGCACCATCCCACTTCAGAAATTGATGCGAACATATGGGATCAGGTTGCGTATGACTTCTGGGCACTCATTCCTGCGATTCATTGTAGGGTTTTTGGCAATGATCCAAAAAGCCTTAAGGAGTTTTTCGCGCTGGTGTTTTAGACTCCTGTGCAAGGATATTGACTTTTACTTCAAAATCGTGTTTTATTGTGTTTTTTATGGAAGTAAATGTATGCCGTTTAATAACCTCGCGATTGCTGAACAAGAAAACGACACATTCATATTCCAATGCCGAGGTTAAGAGAAAGTCGATCCTGGGAGCTAATGCATGAACTTATTGGTAATGTCAAACAACTAAAAGTTTATACATTCCATTAAACGGGAAACAACTGAAGTTTTTCGGAGAGTAGGTGTTAATCAATTCCACCAGAAATACTCATCATAAAATAACGGCATATAAAATGTTGTCTTATAACAATATACTCCTGTTAAACACCCACTCTGATTGAAGTACAATCATCCCCAAGGATTGGAGAAAGTACTGTACTAAATAAAACGAAACCTGATTTATCTTACTGTAAAAATCAAGGCATACGAGTCAGATCCTGTAAAAAGCCGATCCTGAAGACGGGAAACCATGAAGTGAAAATCTGAGACATCCAATTGACATGACTAGAAAACTCAAATAGGTACACGAAAGAACGTAAAACCAACAAAACACGTTAGTTTACAGAATACTCATTCCAGATATTCAGATAAGGATGACTAAGACCTACGTCGTCTGAGTTATTCTTACGAACACCACAAGTAGAACGCAGAGAAGACGTCAGATTACGAATCTAAATTTGCCATTTAGCAACATAAATAAGTCAAAACAACGGTTGTAATCCATTGTCCCATACTTTGCATTACACAAATGGTCAAGTCTGTTTCCATCTTATATAAATTCGAACCAATTTCTCAAAGTAGGACGCAATTTCCTAGAAAACATATTCACAAGTAAAACATGTCGCGGAACTCTATTATATCATGACCATAAAAAGGAGAAAACAAACAGAAAATACCTGTAGGAACTCATCCTTATCGATTCTTCCGTTGTCGTCTTTGTCAAACATCAGGAACGCTATTTTAAAGGAAGATTTCGATTCTCAAAATAAAATTGATTTTGGCCTTGTAAGCGTTGGCCTCTGAGTGCTAATTTCTATGCGATGGACCTAGAGACCCCGTTTGTAACCTGTGTCTGAACAGAACCCAACCAATTATAGTATACAACATGAATGGCTTAGCAGAAATTATCTATGATAATGTAGACATGGAGATCACAGTAGTCTTCACATATCTAACACACCTGGCCGCCATTTATATAACAGCGTACGTTTTCAGCTAGTTTATTTCATATCATTTCTATACCGTATTTACAACATGTATTCGAGTCTTCTTAAAATGCGGTAGCAGATCCATAAGTCAACAACAGTTGTTAAGGGAGAAAAATCACGATTGATCGTAACTTGCTACCTGCGGTTTGTACCTTCGGGACAAATCAGAACACCATTCTGAGCAGAACAATGCTTCAAATGATATAATATGCTCCTATGTGACATTCTACAACTTGGAGAATAGCAAGAAGAAACTAACTTGTCATTAGTGTGAGCAAGAAAATATACTCAGCGTATGAAATCAAGCCATTCTGATCAAGTGTCCGGAACAAACGATTGCTTCCAGACCGAAAAGGTGGCGTTGATTTGAGCATTTGCTTCACATCGTCTTCCTTTAGCACTCTTCTATATACACGCTCTAAAATATTACTTAAAATGTTGACATTGTTGAACGAAACACAATCATTAGTCTTCATGATGAGAACATCAAACATGTAGAAATTCTCAAACACCCGAGAAATTTCCTTAAGAGTTTCACACACTCGCGGTGCCCATTGCTTTATTCAACTCATATTTAGTACACCAGTACTTCACATAACCAAGGGAGAAAATTAAAAATGTCTCAACAGGTACGGATTCGTTCTGAAGAGAGTTGTTCGTTTAGCTTTCAAGCATCCCCACATTTACCAATAAAACTATTAAGCACTATTTTTAAATGGTTTAATTGCAGTCGAAGTCGAATCTCTGTTTCTTGTTTCTGCCCTTCTCGATAAAGGTAGGTAGGCTATAATTTCGTTTTAAGATAGAGTCAATAACAGAGAGATTTATATAAATCTCTTCGCCTGCAATGCCCGTACCAGATCCTGCATCCTCACTGGGAGAACACCATCAGTAATCCTGCCTGAAGAAGTAATCAAAACCCTGCTAAAGTTCTGCAGGAAGCAATAATTTAGCGAACTTTTAACGAGTTGGAGAACAACACATACGCGCTCTTCTTGCAAAAGACGTAAAACTATATGTCCAAATGGAAGATATAGCTAACAAGCGCAGGACTTCGTGTGCCTTCTTTTGCACAGAAAGCTGGGTATGAATCAGCTTCGTAATTATAGTCCGATTCTATAAATTTAGATCATAATAATGCAAATCTCAGAAAAGGCAGATGAATTCGAACTTATGGCTGCGAGGTTATAGGGAATAACATCTACCAAGCGTTAACCTTTGTTGACTAGAGAAGGCATTCGACAGTAAATTCAACTTCTGGAAAACACCTGGTTGTAAGCGCGATGAAACTCCGTATGGATAACCAAGTGGGGCGACGACGTCCTACGAAACTCTCAGATGCACAGTGAATACGGATAATTGCATGAGAAAAAAGCTTAGTACAAGGTAACAAGCAGCATGGACCATGTAGGATGGTCCGACAGAAGAATGACTAGCTTAAAAAGGAATAAAGCGTTCCGTTTTGATTAATTCTTTGTGGGATGCAGCATGTAGACGAATTCGCCAAGAGGTGGTTGAATGTTTGGTTATATTTGGCCTACACACTAACCTGTTGGAGCCCAGCTATGTATCAAGTCCGTGAATTTATCCTCCCAAACAAGTCCACTAACAATTCGCCGATTCCGAAGAGATGGAGGTCCTAGCTTGCCCAAGCGCCGAATCGAACCTACGACCCTGTGTGTGTGCTGTAGAGCACCTCCACCCACTGCGCGACAGGCGCCCTTGCTGATCATCGTGCTCATTTGATTCAATAAATCTTCCAGACTATATTTATACCAGTACTTCTAATGGGACTACTACTACTACTAATTTATTATTATTATTTTAAAATAAAGAAGCAAGAATACATGAATAGGGAGTATGAAGAATAGAGAAAAGAATTTAAAAAGAAAATAAAGAAGCCCCACTAATTTCGATGCAAAAGCTTTCAGAGATGACGGCGTATAGCGCTGGCAACACAGCTACTGATAACAGCACTGTTAAAGTAAAAAAAAAGTGGACAAGAGAAAGGCAAAGCAAGGACCCCGGTTGGTGCAATGGATAACACGTAAGCCCCCGGAAAAGGTAATCATGGTTGGAATCGAACTTGAGGTTCCAGATTTTGCTCATGTCTCAGCATCCTTGTTGCTGCAATTCAAACAATGCTCCATGAAAAAAAAATAAGCAGTAAATAAAAAATAAACAGTGCATATATTATTAATAACCAATGTTGATCGCTACTGCTCACGAATGTCCATGACTTTTGGGCCCAGGAATTTCCAACGTGTATTGAAGTTGAAGCTTAAACCTCACCCTAAATTTCCAATACCAAACAAACATGAGAAGGTCGTAGTTGTTTCAACAGTTATAGTTAGAAGGATGGAATGACATATGAAACGTTACAACCGCCGCAGTAAATATAAGTATTTTATACTAAAATTGAATCCAAAAATGAAGATTAGAAATTGACTAAATTAGTTGATAACCTCGCGGAGTGTCCAGTGTTAGAGAGTCAATGAAATCCATTGGGCTCATATATATGACATCGTCATATTCAATAGAAGCAAACTGTAGAAAACGTAGCTCACGATCTGTTAGTTTATGATCCGTGTAAACTTCATGAAGAGCCTTTTCTTCCTGTCCTGCAAAGAAAAAATTTAAAAGGAAGCAATGATGGATTACTAAATTGGAAATTTCCGGATGGCTATTTCTGACGAGATATAAATAAAGATCTTCGCATTCACTCCTCTAGAAAATGTAAGTTTGATTCCTGTTGCTACTAATGGATGTCAGCCAAGGTAACAAGGACCGGTTGCGGTTCTCAAAACTAGAGAAAATGGTATATTTATGTGCAGGCTACGAATGATAATTCCTGCCAATACATTTCACTTTTTATCTACCTACATAAAAGCTAAAGCCATCGGCGTTGATCAATTCTTGAGGGATGCGTGATTGAATGCATGTCTGGCCTTTATAATGACTCGCGGTTGTCTGCCAATGTATCGGGCCAGTGCGGCTTCCTCTCAGACAGGTCTGGTACCAATTTGTCGATCCCAGAGGGAATGAAGGTTTGGTGGGCCTGGAGCGCGGGGATTGATCCCATGTGTGTTGCAGGGCTCCTCCGACCACTGCTGTACACTCGCCCCAGTTCTTTTTATTAACCTACATAAGTAGATCTAAGCAAATTCTCCACAAACGCTGGACGTTAGGAAAAGAAAAGTATGAGAAGAAGCTTTGGGTCATCCACATGAATTAACAGCCAACTAGTTTAAGCCGTACAGCAGTTCCTCCTCATTTGACCGCACTTATCTCTGATTTGCTGAACACTCCATCGTTACCAAGCTAAAAAGACGAAGTTACAGTGGCACCCGAGATGGACCCACGCTTGCAAATGTTGGATGCTATATTAACCGTTTTATTAGTGAATAACGACTACTGAAGCACTCCTTGCACAATATGTTAACGTGGAATTGTTTAACTTTTATATAGACAAAAGAAGAGAAGTTTCCAACAATAATCAAATTTGCAGACACGCAGCACGGCACGCTTCAAAAAGTGTAGATTTGAATAGGTAACTATAACAGTGTCGCCCTTTGCTGGACCGGTGGTAGTGAACAATCGACTCGAATCAATGCGGCTCTAAAGAAACAGAAGGCGTTGAAACGCTAGCCACATAAAACTTCTTACTAATCTCGTTTTCCTCCGAACAGTTTACCACCTTATCTTGCGAGGACGCTGGATGTTAAGCTGCGATGTATAGCAGGGGATTCATCATCTCCCAGCAGCGTCTCCCAAACTAAAGAATCCGGCATTTCCATCAGGAAGCCCAACTAAGAGTAAACTAATACTGGGATCCACCACCGTCCTAGTATCAAACTAGTCGCATGTTGGCAAATCTCCCTCTGATCTACAAGGGCGGCGACTGCCTGTGGTGATGATGACCTGGAGCGGACATTGCCCTGGCTGACCTCGGGACTCTGGGAAACCACAATGGCTAAACCAGCAAAATTCCGATAAAATGGAGATTATGCTGGGACCCGCACTACCAGTGAAGACGGGCCATCCAAGTATTCAAGCAAGTAATGGAGTGGATAAAGATAGTGTGCACTTCTTGCATTAGACGGCATAATAGTCACTTTATTACCAAAAGAAAGCTCTGCTAAACGAGAGACTATGCCAGGAACCGCGGCTTTCTGCTAGAAATTTGACTCATTACCTTGTACAGTGAACAATTCCGTCTCCTACGTCGGCGGCGAGATGCGATCAAAATACCATTTGCAAAGAATGTCGCTGGGATCAGATTAAAGGAAAATATCAACAATAAACAATGAAGAGTGTTTCATTATTTTGGATCTGAAACAGCTAAAGTCTTCTGATGGCAATCTTCACACTTTCCTAAACCACCACAGAGTACATGAAGTTCTATTTGGTCGTACCCTCCTCCCCACCTCACTAAGAGGTCAAATGGGTGAAGACTTACTAAAAAACGAAACTCTTGTCACCTCTCTATTAAGGATCCAATCATGAAATGTCGATGTGGGAGCTGTTCAACACCAATCTGTTCTCCATCATTACGTCAACCAATAAAAGATTCTATCACTTTCACATCGCTGTCTTTGACTTAAATCTACAAATCAGACGATGAGTGTTATTAATCATTCTGTTGTGATGTTGGTGAAATTGAATTTTATAACGAGTTAGGACATCAGAACAAACCACCACCACCACCACCACCGCACATAGGAAATACCGAATGGTACACCTAGTGTAAAGAATAATCATATCCCGTAAATATAATGCATGCCTGCTTGCCAATACATAATTTGGTACAGAATCCCATCATTATCTTCGTTGTAGGAAGATATGACCCAGCTATAACTTTTTTAACAACAACCACTATCCAACGGAAAAAAGCGAGTGAACCAGAAGATTTTGGACAGGATTCTTCAATATGAGTTGCACAATCCGAATACCCTACCGAAGACTATGAGCTGCTCGTCGAACGACCCAAGAGTTTTACGAATACATCCGTTATTCACTAAGAAAGACCTAACTGCACCTCCACCACCAGCACGAAGGTTTTCGTGCAGAAAAGCGATCCAGCTGCAAATCACCCAACTCGATGAGTAGTAAAAATCAGCTGCAAGGTAAACGTCCATTGGATTTACTTACCTGGATACTTCAATCGCCCGTCTTCACTTGTTGTGCGGGCCCCAGTATTATTTCCATTTTTTCGGAGTTTCGCTGGTTTAGCCATTGCGTTCACTTGGAGTCCCGAGGTCAAGCTGGCCAAAATCTGCCCAAGCGGTCACTACCACATGCAGTCACCGCCCTTGTGGATCAGAGGAAGATTTGCTACCAAGGGGATTTACAGTAGTACAAATGGTAAAACCGTTATAAGAAAGCGAAGAAGAAGCCCGTCCAACATAGTTCTACCGATAAAAGGCTCTATTTTTCTCTTCCACATTCCCAGTGTCATACTCCAAAACTATCACTAACATATAGCCAAACAGGACCCTTACCTCTGAAATGAGAGATGGCTTTCAGAAACACCTAGAGGACAACCTTATTAGCTGTGGAAGCCATGAACTACATGCACTTCTAGACGAGGAAGGGTAAACAAGAGGTCCTCGGAACTATTGTCCGATATGTTTGTTATGTACTCTAAAAATTTTTCATGAAAACTGTCTTATTGCAGTTATCAAGAACTTTGGATGAAGTCTAATTAGTTAAAGAGGCAAGATTTCAATATGGATTCTTCTCCCAACGCTTTTCTACTAATGTTTAGACTCATTCTAACTAATAACTCTAGCCGACTGCTATCGCATATGCACAACAAAGATCAAGCCGATGAAAGATTAACGAATGGAAAAGTATATTGGATTTCAAAGGGATAGACACATTCAATACAATGACTACCCACAAAAAGAATACTTTTTGTGGCCCAGGTGAACTAACTGCGTTCAACCCTTAACGTTCCACGAATGACGGAAGAATACTAGAGGTCGACATTTTCGAGGCAGATTGATGACCTGGTAAAGGTCAAAAGAGATCAAAACATGAGCAAAAGCAAAATCAGCTGGCAGCCATGGGGCTCGTGAAAGCGGTTCACTCAGGTATCCAAGTAAACCGAGAACACTACGGGTTCCTCTTGTAATGCACACATGGGATCGATCCCAACGCCCCAAGCCCACCGAGCCCCTTCGCTTCGGGTTCGGTAAATTGGTACCAGACTTGTCTGCGAGGATAGCAGCACTTGACTCGATAGATCGGCAGGCCACCGCAAGTCATTGCAAAGGCCAGATACGCATTGAAACATCTCCAACGATGCTTAATGAAGTCGAATGCACGGCGCACCCTCAGGGATCGACCAACGCCTACAGCTTTTTCTTTTTATCGCTTTTATGTGTTCACGAAGGAAACCTCCTTATCTCTTGGAACATTCTACGACCTACCGAGCAAGTCCGTTCTGCTAGATGAGTAGCCATGATAAACAGCAAACGATGTCATTCCGGTGAGTGTCACCGAGCAGTTTCTCATTCGGCTCCATCTCTTCCCATAGGCTGTCCTTCCACGCCATGCATCCGCAAATACCACCTTATATCTGCTCCATATTCGCTTCATAATCCTAAAACCTATGCAAAGTTAAAGTAGTTAACTTTCTTTACCACAGAAAACACAGCAAACAGGACTTCAGTGGCCCTAATCTCTTATCCTTTCGTTGGAAAGAGCGTTAGATAAGAAGTCCTTTCACGAGTTTAACAAAACAGCGAAGCTTCACCCAACAAAACCAGGGATAAAAGGGTAGGGGGAGGAGGTGGGGAGGGTGCGTCGACATTCGCGTCAGTGCGCCATGGCGGGCGCACGTCGCGACACCGGATTGTGCGTCAATCTGACTGCTTAGCAGCCTGCCCGAGTGGACGGCTCCGGCTGTGTTGTGGGAGTTCCAAGTAGTGGTTCGCTCACTTCTTTTCTTTTGCAGTCATCCTTCTTATTAATGCTGTAAAGTAGTTTTATACTAGTTACTTATTACTTTATAGTGCACTAATCAATAAGGTCCTTTGTGTTTATGCAGTGGTGCTATTCCGTCCAAGTCAGTCGAATCATAGCATTGCGTGTGGTGAATTTATGTGAAATTGTCGATTACAGATTTGTTTTTTTTGAGGTTTTTGACGATCGCCCGAAGTGAACAGTCTGGATTGACGGGGAGGTATGGCCGAGAGGCAACCCATGCTCTCGTTCGCTAAGGTCGTCTCTGGTCAAACAGGAAACTCCACTGTTGAACAAGTGCCAACCCCAGCTGCTTCAGTGCCTCGTACCACCACATCATCTCAAAAGTCGGAACCCAGGAACGACAAGAAGTACGACAAAGGTGAGCGCCATGATCGTGCCGACAAACATGGGCGACCAGAGAAGCCAGAGAAGCCCGACAGAAATTTCGGGAATCGGCGTCGTCAGCCGAAATACAGGGATCGTCATGAGAAGCGTGGAATTAAGCCTGAACAAGTTAATGAAGTGAAAGCAACTGCTGCTGAACAACCAATAGCCGTTCAAGAACCGGTTGTGTTAGAACCAGCTCCTCTTCCAACTGTCAACGCATGGTTTAGAAATAAAGGTAGGATTGAAGAGTTTTGAGAATCGTCGTTTTTTTGCATCTGTACAAATGGGCTGCTGTTCCAGGGTCATGTGATTCCACTCATAGTAGTGAAACTGGTAGCAGCGCAAATCAAAAAGAGCACGTTGGGGAAGAAGTTGCGGTGATTACTTGACTGAAGTTTTTTGCTCCGTGTTTTAACATACGCGAGTTATGTCAAAGTGTTTCGCTTTTTTCAGGGAAAGGATAGTTCAAATGTTTTAGCGACTTTAGCCAGTATAGAGTTAGGAAAATCCAAAAGTGTGGATCCTGAGTGGCCCACCTTAGATGCTGCGAAGCAAGATGATGCTTTGGTGAATGGGATCGATTCTGGCCAACATTCACCTACAGGGGACTCGGCAAAGGTACGATGTTCCGGTTTTTGTTTCTTAGGAACTACAAGTGGTGGATGTATGACAATGATTTATCGTTACTGGAAGCTGGTACGCCTTATGCGAGTACGAATCATACCATGTATTTTGTTAGTGATTTTGTTTTTATATGGTTTTCTTTCTTTTTTTTTCGCCCAGTCGGAAATAGTTGGTGATCGAAATAGAGGATTGACTGATCGAAAAGGAGAGGTAAAGTTGTACTGTACATTAACTTTTCGGGTTTGATAGTCCTTTCTTCCTGTGCTGGATCTTTTTTTCACCTTTTGAAACCAAGTAGAAGAGAGAAGCATTTGTTTTTGGCTTCCACTGTACGCCGACAGGGTAACAGCACTAGTCATTGCATGTTGTAGTTTGAAATAAACCCGACATGAGAACAACTGTGGAGAGAGAGAGAGAGGGAGAGGGATGCTCTTTCGTTGGCAACTATTTCCTAAGTTGTATCCAGCAATGTAGAATATTGTCCAGTAGGTGGAGGTTATTCAACGGGGTTGTTTTTTTTATTGAAGTCTCTTTTCGTTTGTTAGGTATTTGAAATTTCTGTTACTTTAGGAAGACCAGGAAAGTATGGGAAGTGGTCAGAGACCTTCGAAAGGAAGGAATCATTGGAAGAAAATAGAAATCGACGTAGACTACGGTAACAAGGGTAAACCATCATGCTCTTCTCAAGAAAAAGTGGAATCGAGGAAGGATGAAAGGCCGAATGGTATGTTTCATCTGGCTTTAGTTTCATAATGAGAAGGAAGGATAAAGTTTTCGTTTTTTCTCTTGGTGGGAGCCTAGACGTACAGTCAGGATATTTATTTCCATGATAGAATCAAGGCAAGTGATTCTGAATGACTTGATAAAACAGTGAGAATTTTCTTCGTATTTTTGTTGAGCAAACTCGAGGTGTTATTATTCTTAACACCTCGAATAATAACACCTCGCGTTTGCTCAACAAAAATACAAAGAAAATTACTTGATCAATGCCGAGGTTAATAGAAAGTCGGTCGTGACAGTGAGAATTGTTAAGAGAGGTGAAGCGCACAGCGGGTGGTTTTGATCAATGTGCGGATCTTAGAAGGTTTTTTTACGCTCTTGTTTTATGCAAGGTTTTATGGATGTCTTTATTGAGATCATTCGCAAGGCCAGCGTGATTCTGAGGTTGACTGCCCTTTACATTTGCACTCATTTTGGGCCATTAATTTATGTTATGATGAAAACCGTACATCTATGCAAGGGTATTGCTAACTTTTAACTTTGCTTTAATTTTTACTTCTAATAGCTTTAAAACTTTAAGAAACATTTCGGTTTACCGTACACGGTGGGATGAATGCTCCATTTGTACGTCTTCTAAATGAAGATTCTGGAAATCTGGGAAGGTAATTGTGCTTGGACATGAGTAGTAGATGAAATAAGACTTGCATCTAACTTTCACAAGCATTTTTCTGTGCATTTAGTTGTATTATTTATTATTCGGTATGTGAAAGCTTTACCACGTATAAGCGTCCAGAATTGCAATATTTGCAATGACTGAAGCAAATAAGCTGCCGCTTTATTCTCATAACATCGTTTTACCTTTTCGATGATTTTTAACTTTTTTTCTTTTTGGTAGTAACAAGTCAGGTGAGTATGAGATACCGCGTCCATTATGTAATCGTTTTTGTCGGAGTTTTGCGGGTTTAGCCTTTGTGGTTCCCTGGAGTCCTGCGGTCAGCCAGACCAAATTCTGCACCAGGTCGTCACCACGACAGGCAGTCCCCACCCTTGTAGAATAGAGGAAGGTTTGCCACGGTGAGACTAATTTGGAACGAGGACGGTGGTGGATTCTGGAATTGGTTTACTATTAGCTGTGGCTCGAGATGAGAACTCCGGACTCTTCAACTGGGGAGACCCTGCTGGGGAATGGATTCTCCTGCTGTACATCGCAGCCCGAAACCCTGGAACACCCCCCAGCAACGATGGGAAAGTAAATCGTTGGAGGAAGTCGTTCTATTAGAAAAAAGCAAAATTTTCGCTCAGAAGCAATAGGAGAAGGTGTTCAATTTTAGGAGGTTTGATTCGGCCACACGCTAACTTGTCTAATTCTCCTGACCAAGGATCTTTGGACGAAGGCGAAACATGGTGAGAATTTAGGACGACTGTAAACGTACATTCTTTTTAATCGGTTTTTGTTGGCAACTTTTGTTTAAACATTATACTTCATCTTCCTGGATTTTGTGACTATTTCTTCTATCGTTCCGGGGTGACGGGGTATTGAATTGCACCGATATTTCATACATGTGCAATCATTTCTCAAATGTTTCCCATAGCCATGTTGCAGAGTACGTCCACAGTTTTCTTTTCTTGCTATTGAGACATTTTTGGGTCAATCCATCGCTTGAAAAACTCTTTAATTCCTTTGGAAGACATAGTCGTAGTTAATTTCGCCCATTTGAATAATGAACGAACGGAATGTATGGGAGCAATATAGAAGAAATGCTATATGGAGAAAATAAGCTTTCATTTGTGCATTGGAAGTTTGTTGCTAAAACGTGTTTTTCTTGAACACCAACTTTTATCACCATATGCTTGGTCGACACATAGCGCAGTGGTCGGAGGCGCTCTGCAATACGCATGAAATCGATCTTCGCGCCGCTGGCCCAACAACCTTCCATCCCTCCGCGGCCGGCAAATTAGTACCAGACTTGTTTGGGAGGATGCCAGCACTGGTTCGATACGTCGGTAGGCTAGCACGAATCATTGTAAAGGTTAGATGTGCATCCAGTCACCTCCAAACGATGCTTAATGAAGTTTAATGCGTGGCGAATCCCTCAAGAATTGATCAACGCCGAGAGCTTTATCTTTTTATGTTTTCATATTTGGCTGATTTTGTTTCATGGCCATTCCAAATTCATGATTTGAAATTTAAGTCCCTATTCCACTTGTCTTAAATCTGCTTCTGTAGAGGGTACATCATAAATGATGGAACGTCTTCACTAGTGTTTGCTTCTATTCTTCAGTGCCGATTTTACAGTAAACAAGCTTCTTACTTTGTAACTTCCATCATATTTATCGTTTGTTTGACAAAGGTTACTAGTTTTTTTTCTAAGTACCTTTGACTAGTCTTCGTCAGCGCGAACAATCTATCACGCACGTGGAACTGGTTGTTAGGTGTTAACATGAACAATTTACGAAGCATTGACCAACTATCGACTAGATTTTGAGCTAGTAACTTATCCTCTCGTTCCAATGCGTGGTACTCGTGGGTGTTAACGTTCCTCTGCTTTATCGAACCAGTGTTTGGAAAATCCGTGCTCACTGCTAGGTAGTAAAGTTTATGATACTAGGCAGAATATAGCATTACATTTAGTGGTTCATAAACAATTCATCCCATTCCTCATAGTAGAATGCTAGCGTCGCTCTTCCATCGGTCACGTCCCTCATTGCGTTCTAGTTCGGATGAAAATGCATAGATACTTGATAAAATCGCGATCATCTCAGTGTTTGTTCAATACTTATTTGTTTGTTTGTCTGTTTGTTTTTTGTGCAAAATGATTTCTTTCGGAAGGAAAATGGGGATATCATCCCGCACTACGAACGAGAGGCGGCGGACGGGCGACTTTTAGCTCTATAGTTTTCACGCGCCGTCAGTAACCTCTGCTCTGTTGCGTTCTTTTGACCACTCTCGCGACTGTGTCTGTTGTTTGGCCGCGCTATTTCATTTTCCCTCCTTCTGTGCGTTGGACCATCCTTGGACGAGACGCGTTTCCGAACTCCCAAATCAATAGCTCCTAGGTTTTCCGCATTCCTGCCTGTTTCTTCCAGTTTATTCTACTTTCTAATTCTTTATCATTCTTGTTTTTTAGGCCTCAAATATTACACATTATTAGATTTCATCCACTGCTGGCATCACATATTATTGATTTAGGGTAATTGACAATACGACGAATGGTATTTATTACACACAAGGCGGCAATCAGGGCTGGAAGAAAAATTTGATCGGAGAGGATTCAAGCGAGGTCCAAGTTGGAGGTACTGGAGCCATGTCTTCAGCTGATCTGTCCTCCTCTTCTGTGAAAACGCCAAATTCTGCTAATACAGCACCGAAGAAGCCTCAGTCACCTTCTAAAGAGGATAAGCCGCAACCACTTGCAAACGGAAGTAATCGAGTTTCATCTGGATCTTCTAAAAGTACGCGAAGTGATATGCGTGGAATAGCAATGAAATCTGACTACTGGCACAAGAATACTGAAAGAAGGGAGAGTGACAAGCCCAGAGCATTCTATCAAAGAAACGACAGATATCAGTCTCGGAATCCACACGCGCCACCAAAACTGACTCTTGCTCAGCGTAAAGCTCGTGGCCCACTTCCTGACTGGGAGGATATTCAGGACGGCGAGGATAATTTCGATTACATGAACCTCATGGATTCACAGTATGCACAGTATTACGCAATGTCTTCAATTCCACCATTTGATGGTGTCAGTGGAATGGATCCACAAGTGGCTACTATGATGATACAACAAGCACAGCAGCACATGGCTGCCTTTGGCTTCCGTCCTACCATCCCCCTAATGCAGCATCATATCGTTACACCTCCCGAACCAGTGGCTGTTGCTCCACTTATTAGTCCACAGGGACCTGTCCTTAACACTGCTATGAATGACTCAATAAATACTGCTATACCATTCGCTCCAGTTTATCCAACGCAACTTCCCTTCGTGCCGCTCAATGATGAAACGTTAAAGGACTGCGTGCGTAAACAAATGTGAGTCCTGTTTTAAAATTGGTGGCAAATACATCTTCATAATACAGTAATTCTTTGCTAATCCAAGATGAACTATTTCAGTGAGTATTACTTTTCCTCCGACAACTTACAAAAAGACTTCTTCTTGCGACGCAAGATGGATAGTGAAGGATTTCTACCTATCACACTCATAGCGTCATTTCCTCGTGTACGATCTCTCACTCAAGATCTTACACTTATATGTGAAGGCCTTCGAGATAGCGACAAGGTCCTAGTTGTATTCAAATTTGATTTAATGGAGTGAATTCCTCAGCTGATGTTTAGCTGTAATGTTCAGGTGGAGTTGTCTGATGATGCGAACATGGTTCGACCACGTTTGAATCCTACAAAGTGGCCTCTGCCTCCCGCAGTACACTCCACTGTGCCATCAACGAGCCGTAGTGAAACTCCAAGCAGCACAACTGAATTTGTTGAGACATTTGTCAGAAAAGCAAAAACTCAGGAAGAGCAACCGAAGCAGAGCACCGTAAGCTCGCTTCTCAGTGTTGAATTATGATTATTATTCCTTCTGAAACGCTTTTATACATTTAATGTTGGATTTTATTATGGAAAAGTCCCATTAATTAATATGTCGATGTGTTTGAAGTTCAATTTATCTATTGTCACCATAGTTTTCTGGAATTCTTCAATTATTTTTTGCTGTGTTGTGGAATTTTTTGGAAAATTCGAGAAATGACCACGTTGAAGCGTGGTCACGCAACCCAGTCAAAGTCGAAAGTCGTTTTTCTGCCACATTATCTTACAAAGATACTTCATTTCCAGCTTGTTTAACGAAAATATTTTTAAGGGTAGTACGGGAAGTTCCGAAATCGAAGCAACGACTCCAGTCACCTCAAAACCTCATGCTATTGAGCAAAAATCTCAGTCGCATACGAGTCATGCTAAGCCTTCTTCTACCTCAACGGAGGAGGTGTGGTCAGTACATCAATTTCAAATAGTTTTGTTAGCGCTGTTTATTTAGGGATGGGAGGAGGTGAGACCAAAGAAGAAAGGAAAGGGCCGTACAGAGAAGGCCACTGTTTTCAAAGAGGGTGCTGGAGAGCAGGATTTGGATTTCCAATTCGATAACGAATTAGAAGCTTCTATATTTGGTATTGAAACAGTTAAGAAGGAAAAGCCCTCAAAGGGTATTCGTCTAAGGTTTGTTCGGCATATTTTGACATTGAGAGGGGGCTTCTTACTAAACCTTTAGGTGAGGGTTTTTCCAATGTTTATTAAGATCCGTCTGAAATGTCTACTACATCGAGCAGATATTAGGAGTGATAGAATAGAAATGCATTTTTTTATTTCGTTCCTGGTTTTCACGTTGTTTAGCCACTCAGCCACAAGATTGGGTTTCGTGTTTAAAAAATGCAACCACGGTTTGATGTAACTAAAGGCACTAGGGGCTTAGAACCACAGTTATTTAGCGCATTTAAATTTGATCAAATGGTAAAATAGTTTATAGTTTATTTGGTTTCCTTACCATGTTATTATTTGTTTACCCAAATGTTTTTGTTTAAAAAATGGGCCTTAGGAACACATTGGTAGAACCATTTTAGGTTTTTACCTTTCAGTACGGACATACACGAAGAAATTGGCGATGATGTAGTGAATAAACTGATAATCATGACTCCTATGAAACGAACATTGGATAGAACTGGTGATTTCACCACTCGTGCAAAACATCAGGCGGAATTCAATGAAGAGGTTGAAATTGGTCTTCGACGTTACGAAGAGGAGCTATGGAGTGCACCAATGGAGAAGGAAGCTGTGGTGAGTTCACCGATCATTTACGTATTTCATAGGTTTTACGGATTCCTCATAACTTCTACTGGATAGCATGCTTTATGTTCCTAGTAGGCTTGATTTGATTTAGAACCAGATTTCTGCGTTTTTATCACTCACTTTATTTCTGAGCAGATTTTTGTCTTCCCACGTGTTTGCTTTCCTGTATTGTCAGGTTTCTTTCGTCTCTACTGAAAGTCGTACACGAAACATCATTTGATGTTTTCGAATTTGTTTTTTATTTATGGTGTAGCTAAGTCTGAGTGTAGAGTTCTAATGGAAATCGTTACTGCGAGTGTTGCACAGAGAGCGCTTGTTAATTTTGAATGATATTCGAGAATTTCACGCTTTATTGATGCTCTGCCACTGTATTTTAGGTATTTATGAACAGCTAACAATTTTCATATGCATCCTTACTGTTGTGATCATGCGTGGTGTGATTTCCAGGTGAAATCGAAAATTTCGACAATTGACCATGAGGAATTCCGATTGCAAAAAGGAGAAGCTGAGAACGTGACTCAAGGACCACCGCCTGATATTCCTCCTAGTGAAGTGGATGCTCCACCACCATCTATCTGGACGCAGAAGGCGAAAGAACGTTCTTCACTCAGTGTTGTGGTATGTATGCATCTACTAAAGCAGACGTTAATTTTACATTACCTTTGTGATTAGGTTCGTTCCACACGTGTGGCCGCTGTTTTGTACATTTGTCCCATCCACCTTGTTTATGAAGTTTCACTGGTTTCTACTAATTTTTTGCTGTGCAGTGTGAAACGTTGCTTAACTCGTGTCAAAGTTACATTCCTTAAATAATTAGTTTCATTTTTTAATGTTACATTTTCGTCTTGGTTGTTCTTGATCTTGTGAAATTTAGTGGTTTATTTTTCAACAGCTATAATCATGTGTGAAAGTTTCCCATTCCGAATTACTTCCTCTGTTGGTTAGACCTTTACAGCGAACGAGATGTGTGAAAGTGGAGTCGAAGGTGACATGTAACGTAAACGAGTTTATATGGATAAGAAGACATTTGCATGTTTCGGGGAGCGTTTGCTGCAGTATGTAAATCGTGGGTGGCGAGTTCACATACAAGACGTTTGTTTGACAAACTAGATAAAAAGGACTTGATTTTGGTAATGTGCGCCAGATTATATTGTGAAACGTTGTAATTTACGTCACTGATTTGTGTCACACGTAATGTCATTAACTACCAAGTAACTTGAATGCTCGTTCGGCGAAGTCCCATTACTTGCAAGAGAGGGGCCAAATTTAGCTTGTCGAGCTCCTTGAAGTAGGTTTGCTCTTCGGGATAGAACTTTTCTTTTCTGTAGGTGCCTTTTTCAATATCTCTTATGTCTTGTTGAAATCATGTGGTCAACCAATAATAGTGTCACCTTGTACAGTTAACATCACAAAAATGTGTTAATGCTGAACAGTTTCGTAGTATCAGTTAGGTGTCCTATGTTTACGTAAAGGTTTATTGTTACAGACTGCTTGTTGTTCACCAATTCCAATTTCAGCCCAAAAGTCCGATGCAGCGACGGGAATCTCTGGAACAGAAAGTATCTCGTTTCTATCCTGTGGAGAAGCCTGCTCCAGTGATGGACTCTAAATCTCCTCGTAAACAAAAAACGAGGTTCGAACTACTTACTTTCATGTTTCTATGTTATTTTACTATACTGTTACGCTTTTACAGTAAGTTTTAAGTTTAACTACATGTATATGTATATATTTTTATATTATGGAAAAACCATTTCCTTAACTAATCATCTAAGGACTCAACTAGGCAACTGTGAAGTGTCCATTCATATTTCACCTCTGTGAGATATATAGTAAACGCCACTAGTTCATTAGAAATGAAGAGTCTCATACTTTGTATATTACAGGACCATACATCTTGTGTTGCACCCAGAAGCATTTTAATTATTTTTTTAAAATTTTGCTTGCACTGGACCTTGGTAGTGCGATTCGTTTTTATCAACTCATGTTAGTCAGGAATTTGAGTGTATCAGTAGAAAGGCGTCATGCTCTTCGTTGAGTGCCTTTGTTAGTTAGAGTAAGCTGTTGCGAGTGGGATGACCCAACCACTGTTTTATCTGATTGACTTTGAGTCAATTCATCTCCAGTTGCATGTCGCATGTGAAAGAGGTGAGTCACCTGTATCACCTGTCGTCTCGTTGATTGTCGAGTAACTCGAACGGGCGTCAACAAACCTTCCATTCCTCCCTGTAGCGTGCAAGACTAGCACAATGGATTCTGCTCACTCCAGGGACCTTCCTCAGGAATTCTGACTAGCGAGGCGATGGTCGTCTAGCTGTGTTTTTGACATCCCAAGCAGTCGCAAACGGCTTCTGTCCATCGGTTCTCGTTCAAAAGCACTACGTGTCCGGCCCACCTTATTTTCGACAGTTTGATGTACACAACGATGTCTTACTCCTAACATAGTCCTTTTGTCTGCGCGTTCAAAGAGGTTTTTTTCAAAGACGTTGAGTGGTTTTTCATCCTGCTTGCGTAGGCGACCATGTTCCTGACCCATACATTAAGGCATGATGCATCGTGCAATCGAAAAGCTGGGCATGTAGTCGGGTGTTCTTTGTTCTCTTTACTGCATCCTCGATGTTTTTGAAAGCTCCTCAAGTCGCTCGTTTCTTCTTCCTCAATTCTGCAGCTAAGTCGTTCACCATGTTGATTTACCGACCTAGATAGACGTAACTGGAGCATTCGGAGATAACGTCCTTATGAACATCGCTTTCTGAGATTAGTCGCGTGCCAATTTTCCCATAGACTTCATCAAAGTCAGCAAGCATTCGTCCCCCTTGGCTGATGTTTAGTGTTATAAGAACGATGTCATCAGATGAACAAATGTATGTCAAATGCCTACCATCGATTTTCACGTCCAGGTTGTTCCATTTCAATGTTCGCGTGACTTTCTAAGGGACGGCAGCAAATATTTTTTTTGAGATGGTATCGCCTTGCCTAACCCATTTTTTGACATTGACGTTGACTTCACTGTAGAATGGTGAGATCTTGGTTGCGAAATTTTTATAGAGCTCACGAAGAGTCGTTATGTACTGAGCAGAGAAGTCCTGGCTGTCCAGGGCTTCTATGACTGCTTCTATCTCAACTGAGTCAAAATCTTTCTTAAATCGATCAAAGTGAGACAGAGCGGTCTTTTGTACTCTCGCGATACTTCAATGAGTCTTGTTATCGTGTGGATTCGATCGTATTGAATCCTTTCCGAAACACTGCTTGCTGAAATAGCTGTCCTTAGTCCAGTGTTCTGTCAATCCTGGTTAGGAGGACTCGAGTGAAAAGTTTGTAGACGACAGTAAAGCAGATTCGGCAGTAGTTGATGATGTCGTGGTCGCGATTTTTAACAATAACATGGTCTTGCTGGTCTTCCACTGAGTAGGGACCGTGCATTCAGACAATTAACGTGTGAAGAGCCGAGCCATTGTATTTATGAGGAATGGCGGAAGCTTCTTAGGTGTTCATATTTTATCCTCTTTAGACCTGATGTTGTTTGGTTCTTATCCGGCGAAGCAACAATTCGGATTATGGAAAGGAGAACCGTTGGTACTATCAATGTCTTCCTTTATTTGGAAGCTGTAACTATTCTATCTGGGCGTCGGAATGCAATCACCTTGGTTTTGTAATTGACGACGTTTCGATGGGCTTTTTTTCTCGAGTTAAGATCTTTTTTTATCGCCTGTCTGCATTGTTTTGCACGTTTGGACGTGAGTTGACGGTTGCTTGTAGCTCATGCGATTCCACTCTGACGTACCAGCCTGTGTTTCTGGAGACGGAAGTCTCTTAGTGACTTTCGAACTCTCAGCTTTCATAGCCTAATGTGGAAATATTCAATAAGTTGGTGGTATTCCTTGTCGATGTTATTGATAACTCTTTCTCTCGAACAGGCGATTGATGACCTAAATAAACTGCAGTTTGCGGTGGTTTTGAAACTTCTCTTTTGAACTTGGCAGGTTTCCCTGCTTTCTGCAAAAAATTAGGCGAGACCTTTGGTTTACCATGATGTAATCAATTTCGCAGTCACATTCAGCATTGAGAGTGGGGTTTCTGAAATTGCAAGTTATCATGAATCTTGGACCTTGGTCATCATGGCTTTTTTCTGGTGAGAATATTTACTAGTTAGATGTAAACAGTTGCTTATATGAGACATTGGTAACTCTTAAGTTGCCGAAGTAGCTTATCAACTTTGGACAAACCTGTCTCAACATGTATTGGACTTTTTTTAGATTTTTTGATATCCAACTAAGACTTGTGCCGCCGCCGACTCGGGAAAATATTCTGGCTACTATCTTGCCAAAAAAAAATATTAAAACAACAGAAAAGTAAACCGTTGGGAGGTATATATGTATATATAAATAATATATATATATATGTGTATGTCTATAAGCATTTGTATATGACAGTTGGAGCGCAAATATTCATGTTGAGATATTAAGCCGATCTTTTGTTATTTAGGCACAGCTCGAATCCACCCATAGAAATGGACGTGGGGTGGGTGCTCGGTCGTGATGGTGTTCCTCCACCAGCGCCAGTAGGAATCGCTGCCAGTAGCAGTCAGATTCCACCTGGACATCCATCTGTCTCATTGTTACAAGATTTCGTTCAAAATGTATGTGTTGATAAGTTTATTGCTAAAAGCGTGATCGGGAAGGTAAGGTTTTGCTAGTATCTGCTATATAGTCTCGCTCCCGATTTAGGTTTACTCATCATGGAGATTATCCTGTTTAAAGCAGCGAAAGAATCTCGGTTACGATTGTGCTGAAATGAATACGCTATACCGATTCTGGTCGTTCTTTTTAAGAGACAATTTTAACAGGAAAATGTTTGAAGAGTTCAGACATCTCGCCCTTGAAGACGACGAAAAAGGGTAGGAGTAATCTATTTTTCTTCGTATTTGCTTTTATTCTTATGCTTATCCTCCCTCACTAATAGATATCAGTTGTGTTGTTCTCGCACTTTTTTGGCCTCTTTTAGATTTCGGTATGGCATAGAAGCGCTTTTCCGCTTCTATAGTTATGGGTTAGAAAAGAAATTCCGGCCGGAGATTTACAAAAAATTTGTCAAAGACTGTATTGCTGATGTTAAAAAGGATCAGTTGTATGGTCTAGAGAAGTTCTTCGTGTTCATGAAACGGTTTGTTTGTTTTGTTAATATTTTTAGCTTTTGAAGAACTCTTATTTAATTTGCAGGTGTAAAATAGCTAATCAATTGGTTGTTGATCAATTTCTACAAAAAGAGCTGGAGAAATACAAAACTCTTGATGATTTTTACATAGTGAGTTTTTTGCTTACTTTTTATTTGGAACGTTGCCGACTATTAAGATGTTATCCATTATCTGTCGACCCTGCTGGATAGCCTCAACTGTCGCATAATCTTCCTTTCCCTCACAGCCACCAAAAAACTGCGGTTTTGTTTTTCGATTGTTCTAAACAGTGTTATAAGTTTTTTTCATTAGTGGTTCGTACGGCTTTTGGAATAATATAGCTCTGTTATAAACCGATTTCATTGTTTTTACTTTCTTCCTCTGCATCCTTTTTTTCTTAGAATGATACCATTTTTCTTACATGTTTTAAAAGAAGGGTGTTAAAAGGGTTTTTCAAAGTTTTTGTGTTGATTAATGATTAGATGGATCAGCTTTAAACACTTCTGTAATAGAAGGTCGCATCACTAGGACGATCGTTTGAATATGCTTTTTTACATCAATACCGTTCTTAACGTTGGCTTCTGCGTAGCGTCAGAATTGCTACTTTTTCCTTCTACTTCGCAAGATTAGCATTTGCACTTGTTTGTTCAGTTATTTTAAACCGTGGGACAGTTACAGCACTTGAGTCGTGGAACGGTACATTTGTGGACTGTGTGAATTGAATTACAAATAATGCACTATATCTTTTCGAAGAGTTATAAAATTTTTACCGTTGATTGCCTTAGAGACATGTTCCATGACATTCTTATAGAGAATACTTCGTATATAAATTCAGTGAACTCTTTATCATTTCTCTCTGCAGTGACTTGGTTGTACGAATCAGTGCATGATTTTCCTCTTCAAAGGCAGTTCGCACTGTCGAAGGTTGAAGATTATCATTTAGTTTATGATAACAAAGCAAAACTGCTGGTGCATAACGTAAATGCAGTAATGTTCTCGTCCTGATCAGGTTTCTGAGAATCACTTTGTCTTGTTTTAGATAAGTGCCGATGAAAAAAAGAAAGTTGCTGCCGCGAAATGTTAGACTGGTAAGACTAGCTGTATTGACTATTCCATTGTTTGTATGTTTTTCTTTCTTCTCTGTCTAAATTGGTTATCTCAAGATAATATAGTTTGTTGTTTTGCCTTTTTATGGCGTTGTTACCCTACGATGGAGCTTGTTGTCGAGGTTTTTAGCTCAAGGCGGGAAGGGTTGAAGCTAATTTGTAAAACTTAAATCCAAGCTTTATTCTACCCATCGTCTCTCCTTGAGTTCTTTTCTACCAGTCAATAGAATAGTTCAACGTAGCTCACTAGAAAGCTCCCGGTTTCAATGCAGTCGTTCTCAGAAATTTGCTCCAATGTCGTGGGGTTAAATGGTACCTCCTAGAAGGTCGTAATAATTGTTCTGCTAAATTCGGTTTCGCATTGTTGAAATTGCGTTGAGGTTTCTTTTTGTTGCTAATTTACCGCGTTCACCTACGTTATAAAATTACCGTTGATTTGGGATGGTTTTTTTCTGGAAGGTATTATGTTCATTTGATTCGTCCCCAAATCAATGTCTTTTTGCTCATGCAATCAATTTCGGTTCTGTTGGTTATTTCTAAAGTTTAGCCATAGATTTTCTATAAACATCTAAAACTCTCAGTCCATTGTTCTTTTGTTTTTCTTCCTTTTCATGTAATCCTAGCAGCAAAATACAAAAAAAAATTAGATTGATGTGTATTTTTATCTATGCTACCTTTATTTTCATTTAAAATAAATGTCTGGCTTCGCTGTAATATTCATCGATTCGTCTTTAAGAATTAATTTTTACAGTACCCATGTGACATACGCCTCATGTGCTAGTTATTGTTTGAATTCTTGTATAAATTCGGAGTAACTGTTGATGTTCTCAACATCGGTTGATGAAATCTGTTCATGGGATTGTAGTACTAAGATGACATTGATAATTCCACAACCGTATGTCGTAACATGTTATGGGGTTCCGTAGTTCACTTTCACTCTTCAATAGGGAGAAACTAGTACCTATACTGGTATTATATTGGTAAACTAACGCGAAGCTATTATGTTTTTCTATTGCGGCTAATGTTTCGACACCTTCAAATTGCTTCAGAGCCGGATTGATTGGAGGTGATTGTCTACAGCCATTCATTCTTGCGAAGCGGATCTTCGTAACGGCGTCGGGTCTAATGGAATAGAGTGGAGCACCGTACAAAAGTGTTTATGACAACCTCCTGTTAGATTATTAGTGCAGGGTATTATTCATGCCGAGGTTAAATGAAATTTCCAGAAGAAGTGGGAATTCATATTTCGTTTGGGTGTGTGACTTCGAACGCTTAATACCTGATAACTTTACAAATATTCTGGTGAGAAGGTAGACGTGTTTTCCTTTTACTGTGAAACAGCTCTCCAGTGAATCTCAGGCTCATCAGGGCTCCTGTCGATAGCATAGGAACGTTGTGTACACTGAGACTTAAATACCCTATCGGACATTTAACAGAATCAATATTCACACGATTCAGGAGAGACGATTAAATGAATGCTATCAACTCTTATAGCCATACGAGACCAGTGTTTTTTAAAGACTGGGAGTTAAAAACAAGGATGTGGAACGCCTGCAAAAGTCGCTATAAGTTTAATCGAAAAGAACCGAATATTAATCAGAGGTAGTTGTCGAGAAGTTTGATGAACGCAGACACCAACTCGTAGTGAGGGATAGTGAGAATCTTGCGAATGGCAAAGTACAGGACGAGTTTTCGGTGAAGGGAAGACAATGCGCGAGTTATAGGAACCAGAAACGAAGAATCATTGCATTCGTTTTATTTAATGTTCTGTCTTTATACATAAGGGCCAGGTAGCAGGTAGTGATGTACAACATCACGAGCATTGTGGTAGTTCTATTCCGCTCTGAGCCAACCAAGTCCTTCATTCCTGCGGGGTCGTGAAATTGGTACCGGACTTGTCTGAAGGAAAAAACCACTCTCTGCAATAGGTTTGGTAACGCTCCAGCCCAGCTATCTCAGGACTGCAGGAAGAGCTGCTCGACCAGCACTTTACGGCATTTAAGATGAAATGAAAATCTTCAAGCAGCAACCGAAACCACACGTGAAAACTTGGAAGACCTTCGTAGATGATGTAAGCGAGGAAAAGAATTGGATGTGAGAAAGGCTGGGATCCGCATGGACGGAAGTAGACTTGAAGACGGATCAAATAAAATAAAATTAAGAAAAGTTATTCCTCTACACTCTCATTTTCTAGTGCATTTCATTCGCAAATAAAAAAGATTCTTCGTGTGAAAAAAAATGAGATAAAGGAAATTGTTGGTCTAGTATCGACCTATCTTGTAAAAGTGAACTTTTGCAAAGGAATTGAACAAAATTGTAAAAGTGAACTCGTGTGGAGGACTCATTGGAAAAGGATGTGTTGGTTGAAACTGAATAAGTGAAACATCGAAGCTGCAACGTCACCAGAGCATGGCGACAGCTTTGCAAATATTCATGAATCATGTAGTTTTTCTAATTGTCACCTCACCACAAAGAGTATAAAGGCTTCGCTATTAAAAGCAAAAGGTCGATACCATTTCGTTGTTACCGTTTCCCAAGCCTTTCAATCTCTCTAAGAAGTTTTGTTTTATCCTAATGCTCAGTATACTATGCAAGAAAAGCGTTCGGACCTCAAACGCGAAATGACATAATCGTGTTCGCTACAATGCTATTAACACATGTGGAATCATACGAATTATGTATGACTTGTTGCTCTTTGCAATTATTATTGTATATCTATTCTTTTTTTGATGAGCTTACACGAGGTTGATAAAGATGTTTATTTTCGGCTAACGTTTCGACGTCTTCGTCTTCATCAGAGCCGATGGTCCACACTTGTTCTTTGCCTCAATATGGCGGCTTCGTGTCAAGTCAGGTCTTCTTCAACAGACCATCTCCTCGAATGAGGCATACTCACTTGGAGACGGACCGTGATGAAGATCTAACTCGGCACGAAGGCGAAGCCGCCACATCGAGAGGAAGAACAAGCGTGGACCATCGGCTCTGATGAAGAAGAAGACGTCGAAACGTTAGCCGAAAATAAATGTATTTATCAACCCCTTGTAAGCTCATCAAAGAGAGAATTTATGTTATATACCGAGGTTAAAGGAAAAATTGTTTCTCAGAAGCTCACTATGCACCATATTGGTCGACCACCCTTATTGACTTTGTTAGCTTTCTCTTCATCCTCAGATTCACCAGCTTCGGATTTTTTATCAAGAGAAAGAGCGATTCCTGGTTATCTCAAGCATCTTCGGCTTGTTCTTCGGAATCGAGAACAAAATACAACCCCTCTCTCGTCAAAACTACTCAAGCTGTCTTCAGCAGGACCATATTTTTTTACATGTTCAGCTAAATCTGCGAATCTCTTGAGTGGACCACGCACAATGGTATTGAAGAAAATTCTGATTATCTGGCCCGCCAACGAAAGATTCTCACTCAGTATACTTCTGTAAAAATGATTTTGTATGAAAAGCATTAAACCTGACTCGCCATAACTATGCAATAATCAGTGACGAAAGATCAGCATACGGATAAGCTTTGGTAATTATTTGATACTTGAATGTTCCGTCCTCACTGGTTGTGCGAGCCCCGGCATATTTTCCATTTTTCGGAGATTTGCTGGTTAAGCCATTATGGTTCCCTGGAATCCCGAGGTCAGCCTGGCCAAAGTCTGCTCCAGGTTTTCACCACCACAGGCAGTCGCAGCCCTTGCGGATCAGAGGGAGATTTACCACCATGCGAATTTGATACCACGACGGTGGTGGATTCTGGTATTACTCCTACCTAGGCTTCCTGATGGAAACACCGGACTCCTCAGCTGGGAAGACCCTAACAGGGGACGAATCCCCTGCTGTGCGTCGCAGTCTGACACCCAGGAACACCTCAGCCACGATGAGGCGGTAGACCGTTGGAAGTAGACGAATAAGCCATTCAGAAAAAAGATTCGGTTTTTTTGAACGTCATCCAATTCGTCTTCAAATAGGAGGAGCACAAGAAGAGCACTAGTAAACGTGTGTGCTTTCTAGTAGCTCTAACGGTTACCAACAGAGAGCTTTTTCAGCAGAAACTATTAGCTACTCCTCCCAACGGTTTACCGCCTCATCGTGGCTGGGAGGTGCTTCTGG